TAATTTATGCAGATAAATAGAGCTTATTATAATCAGTCAGTAAAAAATCTAATAATGTCAAGAGATGAATAAATTAGTAAATCATTTGTTATGTACTCCATGGCAAAGATTTGTTTATATATTTTATAGCATTTCTTTAGCAGATGATTATAACACCTTTTTTAAGTCTGCAATCCATCTTTATTCATCAACAAAATTTTATTGTAAAATTAATTGTACCAAATTATGTGATAAAAATATTTCAAATACTTATTGAAGGTCAAATATTTTCTGCATTATTTATTTCTAGTTTAAAATGAAAGCCTCAAAATATCAGAGTTTAACAAAACAAACACCATTTGTAAATAAGTGAAAATCTGCAAAGAAATAGACCTTTTTCATTTCTCTTTTATTGAGTGCCGTTCCAATCATCACTGACTTACGACATGCACGAGATGCAAGCATTTGACGAATTCTTGATGGACGACACATTACTCCCTGTACAGAAAGGAAATAATTCAACAAAGATTAGTTATTCTTAATGAAAACTTATAAATGAACATTTATAGATATAAACCCATTTCTTCCTCATTTAGATTTCTTAAAAGTAACTAGTTTAAAGATATAACAGTCAAGTAATTAACACAAGTGATACAAATCTTAATTTTGAATCATTATTTCAAGAACTCAGATGCTAAAATGATTGCTAATTTCTCTATGAAACCTACACATGTTCCTTTCCTTTCAATAACGACACACAATTTGATGTTACAACTTTTTCTACAGCCACTGGGAAATATAGTGATAAAATGAAGAATAAAATTGAAATCAAAATTCACAAGCATATTCAAAAATTTAATGATTCTTTAAAAATACAATAAACAGGAAAACTTACAGGAGAATCTTGCAGCATAAAAATGAGTTCTTCAATATCTGAAATAAAATTATTACAAGAAACCATTTCAGATATACAAGCAAATAAATTAGTAAGTGTAGAATTAATGAGGTTTTCTTTTCACATCAACGCATAATGGGGAACAAATACTGATTTTTTTGCCCATCATTACCAGTCTTTAATCAATAATATATTCAAGATTCAGAATATGATCACAAAATAACTGATTAACAAAGCTTCAGACTATCATCTCAGAAATATCCAAAAAAATATTTGTAACCATTCCAAAATCATTTTTTTAACTAGTTATCATTAAATTAGTAGCATAATATAAACAACATTAAAACGTTTGGGAAATAAATTAAAAATACTAAAATATTAAAGTTTTAAAAATAAATAAATACAAAAACAAAATAGTTAAATTTTATCATAATTTTTATAAAAATCACATTTTTATTTTCATTTAAACATTTTAGTTAAATCATGTTGAATAATTTTACAAGGAAATGTTCTTATTACTTTTCCTGCTCAGAATAACTTTTATTATGCTTTAAAGTATTAAATATTTATCTGTCACATTGTAATTTTTCTGTTGTTATCATTTGTTAAATTTTTCCTTGTATTTTCAATTTAGTTTATGATAAGCAAAAAGCATTACACAAAATGTTATTTATTCAATTTTTTATTTTAAAACAAAAATTAACAAAAAAAATAATTTGTTCTTCCAATCAGATCCTAATGTTTTTCACATTTAGAAATAAATAATAGAAATATTGAAATTTTTCTTTTATCAGATTAAAAAATGTTTAAGTTTTGTATGTGCATGTGTGGTCCATTTATTGCCATTGTAGACAAGCTAATGGTTGCAAGAAAGAAATACGACAACAGCAGAAATAGATTTACGTGGTTTATTTCAACAGTAACGTGTGGGTTTGGGACAGCTACCTTGTGGTAAAGTTCATAAGCCGGCTTCGGATCTAGGTCAATCTCTCATAGTAGTTCACACATGTTGACGCTCCCCTGCTGTCAGCAGCTGAACGTGACAGGTCTCTATCCTGGGCACCTGTGGACTGGCTGTTGAACTTCCGTGTGACCCCTTTTATAGCGTTTTTTTTATGGCTTAACAGGCTCGAAAACCGAATCGAGTATAATTAGGAGGGAAGCATTTTTATTGGACGAAAAATAGAGCACTTTAAATATTATTTTATTTTTTGACCGGAACATGTGTCGGGAACATTTGTAAAGAAAGATAATGGTCATTTTGTGACGGGGCTTTGTCCCGTTTATATCCGGTTCTCGCTCTTGAGTATTTGCCTGTAAATCAGCCGAGATATGTCTTATTTTATTTTATAACAAAAGTAAGAATTTATTTTAAGAAAATTTTATATTTATTTTAAAAATAAAAATAAAATTTTTAATTAAAAATTTTGTATTGCCCCCTAAAAACTAACTAGTCATCTGAAATAAATGTCTTATCATCCCCAGGATGACGATGCAAATTTTTGTGCCCTGCTTATCAAATACTATGAAAGAGTCATACAGAACCAAAGAAGGTTTTATATTTTCGTTTATTAGATTTTATAACCCTTCTATGTTTTAGATTCTTAACATGTTTTCATGTATCAAAAGCTCACAAGAATTAAGAATTGGTTATAAAGGGAATTTGGTAAGAAAACTAATAAAGTTTTTGCTCTGGGATAAAAATACCTGTAACAAAAGGAAATCCCAAACTTATTTTAAATCATCAGAGAACGAAAATTTTGGCTGAGAAAGTTTTTTTTTCAGCCATTTATCTGTATAATAAATGTTAAAAAAATGCTAAAATGGTTGGTAAAAGTTTGTTCCTGGTTTATAAGTTGACATTATGATGGAGTAAAAAAAACACTAAAGGGAGGTAACAAATAATGCTGACTTAAGTGGCTGCTACTATTAAAGAACAAACGAAAGCAAACTTGACCATTGAAAGCATATTAATTTTATGGTTAGTGTTACAAATGTTGAAAAAAATGAAACAATTTTTGTTCATAATTATAAAATTAAAAAGAATATACACTACTAGCAACTAGTAAACAATCAAATTTTTTTTTTGTTGTTTTTGGTCATTCCTTATCTGATTTATATTTGAAAACATGTTATTTCATCTGAAGAACTACTTGAGTGTAAATGACCCTTCTCAAAACTATAGAAAATACCAAAATATTCCTTGTTTGCAGAGATATTTACATCTTATCTAGAAATGTAACCCATTTACAGTAGCTATCCTGTTTTCCATTTTTTTTTATACAAATTCTTTTGAATAGAGTTTTTGAATAGCCAAGCAGGCAACATATGTTGAAATACATATTTAATACTGAAAAGGTTTAAAAACCATTCTCTGAATAAATAAATACACATAGAATGCTTCCCCTTGTAAAGATTTTTTGTAAAAAACTTGCTTCTATGCTGGTAGCCATTTGACCACATCAATTGATTTTTTTATTATATGAAGGAGTGTTGAAAAGTTTTTGACCCAACCTACATCCCAAAATGAGACCAACTAGCCAAACATCAGATTTTTTTTTTTTAAATGGCTTCTTAATTACACCAAGAACTTTCAGGTGTGTATATAGGAGTTTATATTTTTTGTTATATTATGATATTTTAACAGAGATTTTCTCTAGGTTCATTAAAAAACAAAAAAACAGTTTTCAACTATTTATTGATTTTGAAGTTTTAGAAAAAACAATGCTATTTTTTTTGTTTTATAAAGCATATCAACACCTCAATGGGTTATTTAATCGGAAGATTTTTATTGCTGGTAATAATTTTGTTTTTTCAAAATGTTTTTTTTTATAAAATGTTTTTTTCCCCAAATTTATTTTTTACTGACCATTTTTACTATTAAAACTTATTTATCTGTATTATATTCAAGTGTTTTGACACCAGTTTGGGGGTTAACTATTTATCTGGGACCCTGATCAGATGTATCTACCTGTTCAGATATCAGGGTGAACTTCAAAATTAACAGATCCAATTAAGAGGTGCTTCCATATCTATCGATTTCTCCTAATCAGAAGCCTTGCTGCCGGATGTAGTTTATCATCATACCCATGACAAACAATGTTTGGGAACTTTTGCACACAGCTAATATTAAACAGAAATTTATATTTGTGAGAAGAAAAAAAATTATTTAGGCAGGTGAGTAACACTTATTAGTAGATATAAGCTATTTCAATATACAACATCAAATGATATTAGTGAAAATCTTACCGTCTTTTCCAAAGTTCCAGTTTTTACTGACAGGTGCCGTCAGTAACTTGACTCTTTGACCAGGGGCAGATAAGTCATCAATGATGAAATCAAAACCGTTTTTTTTAAAAATCTCTACATTATCCATAAGTATTATTTCATTGCTTGCTGTCAGCTCAAGATTTAGTGGACTAAAAAAAATGATTATAAAATATTTAAAATAAAAGACATTTATAAATAAATTATACTATTATTCTGCTTGTTTGCATATATGACAATTAAAATAAATGGCTGGTTACTCAACCGCAAGCACACTCCATTTGTTAGATGGCTTAAAATAAAGAGAAAGAATTCAATAACCACAATCCGGTGTTTTGTGGTTTATATTTTAAAAAACTGTGTTCAGCAGATCTTAGTTAGAGTTTCTGGGAGAGAGCATATGATCCTTCTATCACAGTTTTGATCAAGCTGTTTATCTGTCTATCGAGTCATGATGATATGTGACTTCATGATAACACAACCATCAACAGGTCCCAAACATTTCCATCTATATCCAATTTCACTCTCTCTCTCTTCCATCAACATGTGGTATCAAGACGGTATTGTTTATTTTCGTTAAAATTTCTGTATTCATTGAGAATCAGATGCCAAGACCAACATTAGGAAAAAGACATCACCTCCTTGACAAATCAACCATAGAGGGAGAGAGAGAGAGAGTGATGTTTATTTTCAATATAATCAATAAAAGTGATGGTTCAAACATGAAAGAGAACTTGCATTAAAATGTAATCTTTTCACCTGTTCTTGAAGCACAACTTGAGACTATTTAATAAAGGACATTTTGATAAAGGACCAATCATTTCCCAAATGTTATCACAGAATTGTTATTTATTAAACTATGTCTAACTGAAGATTGCCTTTTTAATATTATAAATGTTTCATTGTCAAAAAAAAAAAAAGCGCTTGTTTTTACGCTTATGAGGTATTTTTCCCAATTAAATTTTGAGTAAAATTTTCAATGGTAATAATTCCTTTTGGCCTTGTTAATAATCATTTAGCTATACTTAGAAAATCACTATAATATTATAAATGTTAACATTAACAAATTTTCTACATGAAAAAATGCACTTCATTAAATCAAAACTGATTTCAATTAATGATGATATTTCTTCTGAAGAAATTAATTTTCAACCGTTATCTTCATTAATCCGTTTAAACTGTCGTTTATTAACCTTTTATCTTCAACCCTGGACTGCCAAAATCATTTTAAATTTTGAATCAATTCTAAAATATTTCAAATAAACATGTGGCTAAAAACTGCAGTGTTAAATGAGTGTTTCATTTTAGAACAAATGAAAATGAAGAATTTAAATTGATCCTTCATTTAATTTTTAGTTTGTTTAAAGTGTGACACTGGGGCTGTGAGGTAATTAAACATTAATTCTAAGCAGAAAAAGGGTTAAGCCCATAATATATAAACTCAAAGATATAAAGATAAAGAGAATGGAAAGCATTTTCCCTGGTAATGTGAAAGTGAAAAGAAAGAGCCATCTGGGTTTCCTACGAATTGGAATGATGCAGCAAGAGTTTACTTCTCTTTTTTTTTTTTTTTATCTATCGAAAATCTGGTATGTGGGTAAAGCAAATTGGGAAATGGCTTTATCTTTTTCTTGGGAAATTAGAAAAATACATGTCATTGGCAAAAAGAGAAGCAAATGAGAATTATATTTTCATTAGTGAAAACGAATTGAGAAATGAAAACAGAAGATGAACCCGCTGTGCAAGTTAGGATTATGAAAATCAATCCATAATAACAGGCAGGTGATCTGGTTTATGCTTTCAGTAAGATGCCAACCAGCCCATGGATGGAAAATGGTGTATCTCTTTGTTGAGAATTTAGGTAAACCAATATATTTTCATTGACAAAAACAAATTGGGAGTAATTTAATTTAATTGGGAGTAATCTATTGCTCAGTAGATTAAAATGAGAAGGTGATCTGGTTTGTGTTTTAGCTGAACAAGGATCCAAGAAAGGAGTCAGAGAATTGAAATTAATAAGGAGAATAAACTACACCCTTTCTCTTACACACTTTAAAAATTAGTTTTGTCACAATGACAGTTACACCAATCCTGAGAAGTGGGCAGTGTTAGAATACTGAGCAGGAAGGTGGAAGGGGCAGAATTTTGCCCCGCCTGTGCAGAGTAGTAGTGGGAGATGTCAAGTGAAGCAGGTTGGCATTAAGGGAGGAGCAATCCCTGTGACTACTCCCAAGGTGGATAATTTGACAAATTTGCAAAGTTTATTAAGAAAGCAGAAATAAGGAACAAAGAAAACCTTTAATGGAATTAATGAAAATTAGGGAATCACTGAATCCTCAGAACCCATTATCCCCACACCAACTGCCACCAGATTTCCTAATTCCTAGACTTTGAACTCAGCTCCTCCAGAAGTTTAGACAAGGCCCAATGTCACTATGGAGATTGATGAGGGAAAAGTTAATTTTTGTTATACCAAGAGCTATATAGACCAATTGAAGATTAACCCCACAATATATGCATGTATGACAATTAATAAACTTGTCATTCATTATCATCCTGGGGAGATGGTTTTGGACTCTATCGAGACTGTGAAATGAGAACTGGGCAGCTCCTGCCCAAATATGGCAGCAGTACTCCATTTTAGTCCTGATATGGCCCCTGTAAAAGTAGAGAATAGCATGAGTCAGGTACTGGAGCAGTACATGGAGCCAACCATTTTCACCAGCATCTTTAGCAATGGATCGTGTGTATGAGTTCCATTTGAGGTCTGGGTTGAGTTTAGGTCCCAATAGTCATTTAAGGCATGTGGCCTCCCTGAGGAACATCCATTCATCATGATTGGCAATAGTTCATGGTCCGATCGGCGATGATAGAATGTTACTAGTTTGGTTTTCAAGGCATTGAAAGCAACCAGCCAGATGTTAGAGCTAGATCAGAGGATAGATCAGCTGCCAATCTCTGAACATCTAGAGTTTTGGAGCTGCCTCCATATACCACTGTATCATCAGCATAGATATTTATGAACATAACAAAATTGGTGATGAGGTATGTCTGAACAATGCAGACACACACACATGCTGGATTCAACAATTCAGCAACTCTTAGAACAACAACTGCACTTGATGGAATTATTCTCCAAAAGATTTTATACATCCATATCAGTGCCTTCAGAAACAAAAATATCCACATCAACAGAGGTGGTGGTGCATTCAATCATGGAGTTCCACTATGACCTCGCTGATAAACAGACTTTCTACACATGGTTTGCATGATTTGAGGATCTTTTCCAGGTGGAATTTAAAGAACAGGCTGATAATTGGAAAGTTAGGCTCCTTTTACGGAAACTCAGACTCTCTGAACATGACCACAATGCAAACTACATTTTACCGAAACACACATTCAACAATTTCGACAAAACAGTTAAGATACTACATTAGATATTCAATGAGAAAACTTCTCTTTTTAATATGCAGTTTAATTGCCTTAATATTACAAAGTGGCATTCAGTCAATTTTGCTATGTATGCTGGCATTGTGAACAAAGAATGTGAAAGATTTAAAATCAAGTCTATCAACAATGCACACTTTAAGTGTTTAATTTTTTGTATGTGGCATGAGCTCAGCATGTGATGCAGACATCCACACGAGGATTCTATCCAAAATTGAACAAAATCCTCACATTACTCTGCACCAAGCTGAAGTGGAGTGTCAACAACTGGTGAATCTTAAACACAATTTGACTATGATACAACAGTGGGTATCTTCAACAATGGCCACAGTAAACTCTGTTCAAAGACAATGCCACTGGGTTTGACAGACAAGAAAACTTCATCTACTTCCTGAAATTGTGGCAGCTGGCATTTTGTTCAGTATTGTCCATTCAAATTACATTACTGTTGGGAATGTAACTGAATGGAACACAAAGAGGAATTATGCACATCACCATGGCACAAACCAACACACAACAGCCACATAACAAATACAGTCAGCACACCAACAGTCTGGTAGCAAATTTTCACCCAAACTCTAAGTTGAACCACAAATATGTGGTGGTAGAACTGAATGGCTGTCCTGTTTGTCTACAGATTGACACAGCCTCAGATATAACATACATATCACAAACACACTATGAAAAATAATAGGCCAGCCCACTCTAACACCAACCAGACATGTAGCGCAAAGTGCATCTGGAGATTGCATCTATATGACAGGCGAATTATCATCAACCATCACAGTCAAGGACAAAATGGTGTCTGGAATTATATACATTTCAAATTTAGCCACAACCTATTGGGACTTGATTTTATCGAGTCACTGGGACTTCTGGACATTTTACTCAATTCTGTGGGCACCATTACCAACCAGACCAAGCAGATAGTCGGTAAATTTCCTGCAGTTTTCAATACCAATGACCTGGGATGCTGCACTCAAGCAGAAGCTACATTCTCATTCAAACCATCCACTAAACCTGTCTTCTGACTCAAATGACAAATACCATAATGCTGCCTTTCCACTGGTAGACAAGGAATTAAAATGTCTGGAAGAAATGAAAGTCATCATATCCGTAGCATATTCACAGTGGGCATCACCCACTGTCATGGTTAAAAAAAAAGCCAATGAATCAATTCAATTATGTGCTAATTTTTCACCTGGGCTTAACGCAGCACTTGAGGACCACCAATACCCATTACTGGTCCCAAATGATCTCTTCACAATTCTCAATGGCAGAACCTGCTTTGCAAAACTAGATCTCACAGAGGCCTATTTGCAGTTGGAAGTTTTTAAAGCCACCAGAGAACTACTTACTGTTAATGAACATCATGGTTTATTCCAATTTACAAGGCTCCCTTTTGGAGTAAAAACAGCCCCAGCTATATTCTAGTAGATCATAGATATGATGCTAACAGGGCAGATGGTGCAGCTGCATACATAGATGATATTATAGTTGTTGGTCAGAACGGGTCAGTAATGTCCTGACACACATTCAAGATTTTAGTTTCTGGAAAAGTGCCAGTTTTACTTACCATCTATAAAATACCTGAATTTTATATTTGACAAAAATGGTTGTCATCCAGATCCTGCAAATGCTGCAGCTATTCAACGAATGCCACCTCCAATAGATGTCAGCAGTTTACACTCATTTCTCGGGTTGGTGAAGATGAAGAAGGCTAAGAGGGGAATTTCTGCCGGATAAGCTCTAAAACTGTCTCAGTCTGCCTTCATGTAGTGAAAAATTGTTCTATGAAATGGCAAATCAATGAGTTCCTTTGGTTTGGCATCAAATTGGATACTGACTAGGGAATGGTCTGACATGCCCATGAGGTGATACTTTTGCAAAATATTTTTCAGGGCAGGATGTGAGGAAGAGGTCAAGGAGGTTTGCATGATGTCCTGTCACATCAGGAAGGTGGATTCTTCAATGATCTGAGCTACTTCATAAGTGATGGAGATGTATCTGTCTTCACCAGTTTTGTTCAAGAGTACTAACCACTTTTGTGATAAATAGTGAAGCCACCACAGATATGAAAGTTAGTGGAGGGAAAGTCAGTAAAGATATTATCAATACTTTCAGAAATTCGATTGAAAATTAGTGTTCCATTGTAAAAAATCCCTATTTGAGATAGGTGATAACTAAATTAAGGGAGGCAATCGTAACAGTGAATGTTATTTACTCGAAAACTAGCTTTATCAAAAGCATTAAATCGAAACTTTACTTTAGTGCACTTCACTGAAAAATCGAGTTGGAAAATTACAGGGAGATAACTTATATCCGAATGGTATTATTTACAAATTACAGCCATTAATTTGATTGTTGTTAATAAGGAATAATTTTATTCTATAAATTCATCAGTGAGAATAATAATAATATTAATATTTTGGCTTTATTCTCAGAAAATTTAAAAACGAGTAAAAAAAAAAAATATTTGTCCTATCCAAAATACATGCATGAATAAATTACTTATTTAAATTTCTCTTTTTATTTATTTCAGTGAAGTGAACAATTCAACGAAGTGTATATTTGCTTTAACACTCTTGATGAAGCTAGTTTTCAAATAAATGACATTGACCTAATTACACCTTGAATGATACTGATTTAGGGTGTTTTATTATTTATTCCTTGAATAATCTGTTGCTTACCACATATGTGTTAAAAAATCATGAATCAATAATAAAAATTCTTCAAAAGTAATTTTAAATAATGAAAACCGAGTTCTCAACCGTAAGCTTTGTATATTTTTATATAAGAAACTGAAAAGATAGCAATAGACAGAATTGTGGGCATAATACAAAAAAGCAAAGTAATAGTCAAAAGGATTTCTTTTGATTTATGATTACAAAATTTGTAAAATGCTGTTTTAGGTTCTATGTAGGTAACCTCTTAATTAATAAGAGTTGACAATGTTTTGTCTAAAGAAACTAAAAATAAAGATAATATTGTATAAGTCCTTGCAGAATTAGTATAATATTAATGTTTAATATTTCTTCCCCAACACTTCTTTTTTTAGTTGACTGTGGTCAGACAGATTCAATTGAAGAAAACAAAAAGAAAAGACTGAATTGTAAGTAAAAGGGACAGCCCAAGATGTGATTTACACATCAGGGATATCAAAATCAAGCAAGTGTGTGAATTCAACTATCCATGTACAGTAAAAACAAATAATGGTTAGGACAACACAAAAATTCAAAGCAAAAAATACTTTTCAGATATTACATAAGGTAAGGAAAAATAACAGTAAGAATGCTGAACTTCAATTTGGCAGTAAAAGTTGAACCATTTCGTTACATATGAAAAAAATAAAAGACTTGAGATAACCAAAATGGGTTCTACTGACAAATGTTGCATAAACTCTTTTAATGTAATGTAAAAGAATTAAAAGGTGAATAATATAAAATAATAAAAAAAATAATACAATGAATTAAGTTTGGTTATTGTTCTTTCTCTTGATTAGAGAATATAAAAGAAATGTAAATTAAATAATGATTAATAAAAAGGTGAAAATAAAAAAATATAATAGACTAGATTTGTTTATTACAATTGCTTTTAAGAGAAAAGTTTAAAATAATTAAAAGAAAATTAGTAAAAAATAACTAATAAATTTGAAGTCTAACATTTGTTTTTTTAATTTCTGAACTACTGGTTATCTTGCCTTAATAAATAAGGCTCACAAAATGTAAATTTTGTGCAAACATATTTGTACATTTTGTATTCTGTTTGTCTCGTCGATAAATGTAAATTTTGTTCAAGTTTCACATTGGAATTTCAAGTCTAGTTTGTACTTTGCACCTCTCATCCCACTCTCCCCTATATAAAATCCTTTAAGTTGAGGATCTCATGAACAGTGGCATATGACAAATGAAAAGATTTTATGGGGAATAGGAGCTATAAAGAAACTGTTGTTACGAATCAGAAAGAAACATCTGTATGTTTTGGGACATATCAATTTGAATAGAAAGCTTGGAGAATTTTATATTTTTATATTATATTATATTCACAAGCTACATTGAAGGCAAACAAAGAGATTCTTGAAATTTATTTTATGATGTATTTCATTTTTGGCCAATCGGTAAAGGGAGAGAATTCATGAAAAAAATCTTACCAAATGAGTTTTTGCCCTTGCATAACAGTATGTCTTCGTAACGTTTCAAAATTATATTTTTCATCTGTAGCATGTTGATCAATAATAAATAGGTCATCGTTTAATCGAGCAATAATAAAACCAAGATTGAACTGAAACGAAAAAAAAGGAATAAATCAGAAAATCAATTAAATATTGATATTTTTTTTTTTTATTATGCGTCATACTGTTATTGTGTCCCATGTAATCAATTAAGATACACTAGTGCTACTATAATAAATTTAAGCTGCTTGAGCATGCATCATCTCGATTTCAGAGAAAAAACAGACGCCGTGTTGGACTCTTGCTTAATTTTAAATTTGGAAAATACTTTGGGCACATTTTTATTTGTGGTAAAACAGCTGCATTTGTTTTTCATCTAAAAACCAATAAAAGAGTGTCGGAGTTACCTCCTCCTTCTGTCTTTGAACCAGCAGAGGAACAGGTCATTTTCGACCTTGACCTCTCATTCATGCTCCTTACACACTGTTAACACGTCGGAGGGACTAGCAAATCCCCTTTTTAGTTAGGCTATATTACAAACCTAGTTGTAATATACATCTAGTCATTTTTAGACCTTAGTTCTCTTTAGCTAACCTCGTAGCATTTTATTATAGAGACTTTTCGGTTAGCTTAGCCAATTTCTCTTGCTGGTCCCCCTCGTCACAAGAGAGTGATTTCTCCCTAGATTCTCGGGAGGCTGTCGGCGGCTCTCTCCTGCAGCTTCCAGCACTCCTGCAGCATCCAGCTCACTCCTGCAGGATCCAGCCATCCTGCAGCTTCCAGCACCTACACCATTTCCGACCATCTTCATTTCCTTTTAGAATAAACCTCTGTATATCATACATATCCTCGTTCTGTCGTCCATATTGTTTTTAACGTCTTCAAAAATGTTAGCGGGCCCCTTGTGACCTCGTTCACCCCTTTCTGTGAAACGGGGCCGCTCTGGACCGCCCGCTACAAGAGTTTCCCTCCAAATTCCGAGAAGTGTCTGGTTGTTTAAGAGGTGTCCTTGGATTTGATTTTTCAGAGTTGACAGAGATGCTGCAGGAATTCAAGTCACCCCAGTGCAGAAAGAAAACAACGTAGAAGAATTTTGACAATCACCAAATGAGAATTTGAAGGAACAATAATGTCACTCCAATATCAAGTAAAAGTTGATATATTCTTCGCTGTTACCACAAACTTTGCTTCAAAAATTGTACCAAATTATTCTATGAAAACTATTCAGAGAACTGTTTCTCTTTTTCTTCACTTTACGTAGTTTTATTTTCTGAGGAAATTAGAATTTTAATTGTAAAAAGGCATATTTCATTATTATTATTTACATAACATTACATGTTATTGATGATCATTTGGCACACAAAGAAATTAATTTGTAATTAATTTTTTGTTTGTCAAGAATAAAATTTTTGTTTTTAAACTCAATTTTGCAACATCTTACTTACTGTTACATCAAATATTTGTTTTAACTATTTTTTAGTAGGGCATTTTTTACCAAAAATATCCTATACTACTTAAGTATGTGATCTCTCTTCCAAGTCTGATCTACCAGAACAACGCTTCACTAAAGTATGTGATCTATGAGTTGAGAAAATGTTTTACATCAAAAAATACATTAAAACTAGATATATACGGAATAAGACAAGAAAAAAAGTAGTCTTTATTTAATATCCTATAATAATATACTAAACAAATAATACCATATGCTAAAAAAAAAAAAAAAAAAAAAAAACACACACCTAAAGGGTATTATTATTTTATCACCGTATGTAAACAGTTTGAACATCATTCGGAAATGCAATAAATTTTGAACATTGGATCTGGTCTGGTTTATATAAAAAAACAAAATTCACCAGAAGCCTTTATTCACTATTCACTGTAGTTCACTCTCAGTTGAACTCCTCACTGGTGAGAACCTTGGAACCACTATACAGTTCAGTGCCAGAGGCAATGAACTAAAGATTTTTTTTTTCTTAGAAAATATGTTGGAAAATATATATTTAAAAAATATTAATTTTAACTTAATTGACTCTTTTTGTAATTTTGAGCTGAGTCAGCATAACACTGTAACAAAATTTTGACTTATTTATCTTTGTAAGTGTTAATTCTTAATTACATCTGCCTAGAAAGCAAAGAAAATAACAATTATTCACTTCATATTTTTGCTTTTGTAACCAAGCAGTAGAATTTGTTAGATGAATGTGTGCAAGTCGCAGGTCAGAGAAAGTGTCACCAGTGTTTTTCAAGCTTTTTTACCCGTCAAGAAGGGCTTGGCTTCTGCCACAATGTTACCAGTCTGTTTGAAGCAATTGGAATTGCATTTGAGCGGTGCCTCTTCATCGAGAGCTCATCCACAAGCCTCAAAGCCTTGAGCTGCTGCTTCAAGAAACATCTATCTGTCTCATCTCCTGGCTCACTCGGTGCAGCCAAAGAGTAATACAGCAGTGTCAAGGTCTTGGTAGATGCCTTGAAATATGAAGAGTAAGGTTAGGTTATTGGAGACTTCATAATAGTGGCCTTTTTGATGGGTCTCCAAAGTGGCTTTACTAAGTTTCCATGTTATCTTTGCCTTTGGGACAACAGGGACACCATAGAATGCAAGGAATTCCCCAAGAAGCTCACTAGGATAGAGAAAGCAGCATGGAACAGCTTTGTCAAAGTAGTTCAGGGTTTCCTGAGGAATCACAAAGCTGAAAACTTTGTAAAGCTTGTTGAAGAAACCCTGGTGAAGAACCAAAGCAAAATGGGCTGCAGGTTGTCCCTCAAAATCTATATTCTTGACGCTGATCTTGATAAATTCAAGGAAAATTGTTGGGGAGGAATGTACTCAGAGGAGCAAAACGAATACTGCCACCAGGATATACTGGACTTTAAACACCATTACCAAGTATCATATAATGAAAACATGATGTGAGACTATATTTGAGGGCTGATTCATGAAAGTAATTTACAGTATAAGCATAAATTGTGAAAAAATAATTACTTGCAAATTTTTTGTGTTCTCTTTCTTATGTAATCCTAGGACAAGTAAATTGCTACTTTTGAATTTTATTCCTATTTAGCATGAACAAGAATGTTCACATTCACCAGTTTTCACAATGCGAATTTCAGGTAAATTTCAGAAATATCATTATCCTTGTTATAAAAGCAAAGTTTGAAGGAAATATTAGCCATTTTTCATATTTTCTAGGTGGAAGCAAATAAGAAAAAACAGTTGCTACCCAAGGACAAAAATCATGGTACACAGTGTAATTTGTTTGTTGGTTACTATATTCTGATCTGAATTTCTGAAAAATAAGACCTCTCCACTACCATTTCTACATGGATTGTACACCTGAAGGTCATAAAATAGATTATACAAAATACGGTAACAACAAAAAAGAATGATATCAGTATTCTGAACAACTTTTGGAAGTATTCAGTAATTTTGTGAACCATCAGACAATAGAAAGTTACAATAAATTGTTAAGCAAAAACAAGTAATTACCTGCCCAAGAATTTCCATTTGTTCAAACATCGTTTTGTCAATATATTTCTTCAATTCTTCCTCAGCTGCTTGATTTTCACCAGGAGAAATCTTTGCACGAAAACTACGACAAAATTCCTCATCTGATTTGCCTTTGTTCATCTTTATTTGGTCAAGTTTCTGTTGAAGTGATTTCATAGAGAAAAGCAATTTCCTCTCTTTCCGCAAACAAGTATTTTTAGTATCCTAAAATATAAAATTCAAATTAGTACTAAAACTAAACAGAAAACAGAATTATTGCACAACCATGAGAGAGAAAAAACATAAAATAATAGAAAATAAAGGATAACAGATAAATTTTGTAACTACGAATATCTGTTGTTACATTCCCCTATTGTATCCTATCGGCACTCCCACATGCTTTCTGTGGGCTTGTCACGGGATGTATATCATCTCTCAGTTGCATTTCTGTCTGCGGACAGAGTCACACCCGAGGAAAATAATACTTTGAAGTGCCTGGCCTCAGGGAACAGCTGCCTGAGGCTGAAACCTCTCGTTGCACTAGAGAGAGGGATCTGTGCTCACCAGCGCAACTAGTTGTTGTGGGGGCTTGGGGAATTTTTGTACCTGCACTGAATTTACACCCATGGATTCCACACATTAAGTTTGACCTTGTATCGTATCACATCTCAGTCAGGCCCTCTTGATGATTACACTTTTCAAGATGATGAGGATCAAAAGTGTAGTATCTGTTCTAACAGCAGCCAACAATCAGCAGCTGTTCCAGCTAGCCAGCCATATCAAGTAGGCCTCCAGCTCCTGCTTCTCCAACCATCTCCAGAAGGCATTCAACTTCTGTCACTCTAACCATCTCCAGTAAGCCTCAAGCTTCTGCCGCTCCAATCATCTCCAGTAGGCCTTCAGCTACTGCCACTCCAGCTAGCTTCCTGCTCCAGCCGTCCTTGCCAGCAGCAACAATATGCAATAAACTGTCCTTTTCAGGAAAACACTCTCCAGCAACCACAAAATTGTCCTTTTTGGGCCAACATTATTCTCATTCTCTAAATGAGCTTTCAGAGTTATCTTTTGCCTGTACAATTATTTGTTTATGTATTTTTCTGTAACAAAAATAAACTTGGCAATATTGTTTTTACTCAAGTCTTCATTTTCTTTGTTGTTTTCTTCTGTCATTCAATATCTATTTGCAGGCCAATATACCCCCACCCACAAACCCCTCAGTAATAACTGAAACTGTTGACAAGAGACACTTGGTAACAAAAAAATATCAGCACTATTCATTTTTTTTTAATAAATTTATAGTCGTTTTTTATATCAGAAAATCTGGCTATGCTAAAACTACATGCATATTCTTTAGAAACATTTGAATCATAATTTGATCAATAGTTATCTAAAGAAAAGATATATGACAACCATCTTTTTGGTGTACACTCAACATCAGAGTTCAAAACATCACAAACCTTTGCAGCCAATATAGATGGTTTAGCTGGAAAAGAAGAGGAACTTGTCTGATGAAGAATTTGGATTAAACATCCTCCAGATATGGCATGGAAATTACTACCCAAAAAAAGACTTATAGTGAGACAATTCAAATATTTTGTTTTGATCATCAGTGAAGAGTGTTTCAGAATATAAATAATTTTAAGACGAGCACAAACAATGACAGCTGTCACAAAACTAAGAACCATCTGTCAGAAATCAAAGATTAGACTGTTGCATGCATTGGCTTGCTCTCTCAATCTTTCTGTGTGTCTGCCAATCTTGGACAACAGAACTACAGCAAAGAATCTAAGCATTAGAAATGAGATGCTACAGGACTATCCTCAGCATCTCTACTTAGACCAAATCACACTGAGACATCATCAAACAAAAACAGGTTCATTGGAAGAAGACCATATATCACCCATCAAGAAAAGAAAGCTGAAATGGTATGACCAAGTCATAAGAACCAACAATCTTTCTGCTACCATTTCCGCTACCATCCTACAAGCTAAATTGGGCTAACAAGGCTACCAAATGGATTGGAAAATCCTTTGCAGAGATTCAGATATTGGCACATAGCTAGGAGCTGGTCAGCCATGGAGGAGATGTTGATGGTAATAGCATAATAGATGAAATCATTTACAAAATGTCCCTGCCATATGGAAATTTACACAAAAATCATTAAAAGAAATAACAGTGTAAAACATAAACATTGTCTAAAATTCTGAGATGAAAAATCTGAAATATTGTAATAAAAACAATAATGATTAGGATACTTGTAGTCGTAATTGTCATGCAGTCATACCAAAAGAGTTACTAGATTACCTTCCTTGAAGGGAACTCTCAGGAATGGAGAGTAGTAAATGCTACAGAGATAAACAAAACTTTGTAGGCCTGTTATATTTAGTTAGAATATTTTTTCAAACTAATTCCTCATCCTAATAAACTACATCCAATAGCAAGGCCCCTTTCCAGGAGGTTTTGAGGAGCATGAAACCACCTCTTAATTGCTGGTGTTCCCAGGTCCACCTGTGGTAGCACCTGTTAGGGCCCCAGCTATGGTCAAATAGTTAACCCCTAAGCTGGGGTCAAAACACTATGAAAGTGTAAAAATATGTTTTAATACCAGAAATACTTTGTAACAATTATTTCCAGCAATACATTTTTGTAAAAATATTACCAGCAATAAAATTTTTATTTATTTTAAATAACCCAGTTTGATATGCCATAAAACAAAACAAACTAAAACAAATCAAACTAATTCCTACGTTCCCACAGCCCCTGTTTACGAACTTGTATGTGCCTTACAACAATTACATTACAATACTGTTTCAAGTACTTTAAGGAAGAAAAGAATTACTTACAAATTCTAAGTGAGTCCCTGTAGCATTTTCATCTGTTTTCTGATGGGATTCTTCTTGCCCAGTTGTAACAATTTTCTGTTGGTCTATTTTAATTTCTTTATTTTCATGTACTTTGCTTTTGTCTTGTGTCTGTTCATCAGAATGAAATGATAAAGAAGGAGAATTCAAAGATTCCCTTTTTTCTTTATTGTCTTTTGTTATTTCTGGACTACAGCATGAAGATAGAGTATGGGGTGTTAAAATAAATGTTTCTTGATTTTTTTCTTTTGGAGAAGACAAAACTTCACATTCCTCATGGCTAAAGATTTCCTGGTTATTTGTTGACAAATGATGAAGTAAACGTTTTTCATTAGTTGAGTCAGCTTTGCAATTAACAACTTCATTATCATTGGTTTTATACTTTTCAGTCATCCATTTTAAAATTCCATCAGCAGGTAACTTAGATTTTTGCTTTGGGGATGCACTTATTCGTCTTTCAAAAAAAAAAAAAAAAAAAAAAAAAAAAAAAAAGGATTAAAAGAGAAAATTTGAGTTAATTTTAGAAAATAATTTTTTGCTAAAGTAAGAAATATTTAATGAAAAATCAGAAATTTAAAAATTCTGAATTTATATTTAAAATAAATTGGAATTTGAAAAAAATCATTTCACCCCAAACAAAATGATAAAGCCCCTAAGATGCAAGTGATCACTGAGCATGAAAGAATATGAGAAAAAAAATTATTAGAGAGGAAAATAAAAGAACAGAAATTAAGAAGACAGAAGCTGACGATTGACATTGCGTATAAATCTTTGAAGATCAAAGTTGGCTAGGAAGAAAGAAGGTAGAAAAGAGAGAAGTCTGTGAGAAGAAACTATCAGCATAGAACTTACAGATCCATCTAGCAATTTCAAATGTAAAATGATGAGACCTAGCTGTCAATTTAGTACTGCATTTAAATCTGTAAAGTCAAGGTAACAAAAAGGAGAGCTTGTCAGAACAATTACCATGAAAATATTTATAGAAAAGACACAGAGAAGTTGTGTTATAGAGGTAGGAAAGTGTCCAAAACCAAGATGACAGGTCAGGACCAATAACATTATAGATTCATCTTTGGATTTTATCAAGAATATCTAAATATAAATATAGCAGGGTAGACTTGACTTGCTAACTTTGGGTGGGAACCAGTCTAAGAGAAGGAAAAATCTGAATTGAAACTGAATTGAAACTGAAGAAGGCAATGGAAAACTACTTCACTATCTTTCCCCAAAAGTTATAGCAATTCACAGATAATAAAGAAAAAGAAGACTAAGTGGAGAGCCATGATCACCTATATCCTGAATTTTTTTAATGTCATATTCTGTGACATAAAAAAAAAAATAATTAAAAGGAAGAGTTTCATGATCCTTACTAAAGTCAGTGTTAGATCACTCATATGCATGTTTTGTGTCTTTTTACGAGGTCATTGTGGACTTTCACAGACCAGCTTAGAATATCAGTTTTATTTATTTTGTTCTGTTCAAAAACATACTTTCTAATTTCAGATTTTTATCTGTTTGAATTTTCCCCTGACACATAAAGCAAGCATGATGACTTGCCTCATTTACATGGGAACGGATTGTCAGAGGTTTGCAGTTATTTTCAAGTTTGAAGCTGGGCAGCATATTTTATTACTTAACCCTGCTTTATTATTCTTTTACATTTTGTCTCACAAGATTAAAGTCAAAATTTCATGCATTGATTTGTGTTAACTTCACTACTTTTGAAAAAAAAAACATCTAAATTGGAAGATATTTTCTAAAGATATCTTTTTAGAATAATGCCTTACTCTAAATTCCTCAATGATTGAAATGCTTCTTTAAGAAGCATACATTTTATTTTATGGAATAAACATTATTATAATTTTTCTCAAACAATTTAAATAAGATTAAAATGAATGAAGATAGATATAATACAATAAGTAAAAGAAAATTTGTTTTTAATTAATATGATTATATTTTAAAAATCTTCAAATAGACACAGTCAAATATTTGGGTACTCTCATTTTGACAGCAGATTTTTTAAGTAAAAAATACAAAAAGGCTATTGTATTTGTAGCACTAAGACATTTTGACAGCATCCATAGTGGCAAAGGATAATGTAATGATTATTGACATAGAAAATACAAATCAGGGAACCAAGTTCAAATTCCAGTCAATTTTGTTTCATTCAGTTTGCACTAATGCTCTTGGAAAAGGTATAAATCCACCTTGGAGTGGCAACTAATCTAGAAGGAAAACTGAATTCAAAACCAGCCTGAAAGGAGATTTGATATCCTGCCCTAAACACACTACTGCTGCCATAGCTGCAGCACATGCAGTGCTCCTACAACCCTAATGAGTTACAGTACTTGTGGCAAAAAAAAAAAAAAAAAAAAAAAAAAAAAAAAATCAAAATTTTTGTTTTATGAGCAAACATTTCAATTTTTGAAATTAAACCTATTTCTTATTAAAATACTGTAACCCAATTCATTATCTCATTTAAAGACACAGTTAGAATATTAATAAATTAAAATGATTAAACTATTAATTTGTTTGAATATAGACATTTCATGAAAGAGCAAACCAATTTTTGAAAAAAAAAAAAAAAAACATTTAATAGCGTTACTTAAATACACTTAACACCAAAATGTCCTGGATGGTAAATGTGAAATCGAAAAAAACTGTGAAATTTAATTTTCTTTTCCTCAGATTGTGCCTTCTATAGTGATTCTTTTGTTAGCTTCCTGCAGCAAAAAAAGTTTTAAACTTTTCCTCACAACCAATGCCTACAATCAGTTTCTTCTCACTCACTGTCCACAACACGTCACCAGTCCAACACAACAGTTAACTGTCTTTCTCCCTGTCACCTCATTCTTCTTGTTTTTATGTATCATTGACAGCCAAAAGATAATCTCACAAGAGAGTGTTACTCCAGGATCTAGCTCTTTTAATTATGTAACCTGCAAAGCCATCATTTCTTTCTTCTTTGAGCAGTTTACACATTTGGATCTTTGCTCGCACTGGAGGTAAGTTGTTTTATTCTTGAATTTATTCTAGCATTGCAAAAAATACATGCAACGCTGGACCTCTTTTGCCCTTTGTGGTAGTTCACTACACTTCCTCATTTTTATTATCTTTATCAATTCATTTTGATCACTGTCACACTTATTAATTTACCAGGAATTTTAAATGGAATGATTTATTTGATCCATAAAAATATTCCCATTCCTTACTTGTCACCTCATCATTCCAAGTTTTTTTTTCCAACAATTAAATTTCTTCCTTATATTTTTTTATGTTGTTACAGTGTTTTCAATGTTTTCAATTATCCATTTTACAGCCTTCTTCATGTGTAGTATTCATTTCTTAAGGAATTATTTTCTACAACAGAAAATATACCAACCAGATCAGTTTATTTATACAATGTGAGATACACAACCATTCACCATCCCAGATTCACATAACTTAGGGGATTCTAATTTTGTCTTCTCAAATCTTGGAATGTTTGTATTTAGAAAATTAGAATAGAAGAAAGATAAGAAAAAAATTTGCAAAAATAATTTCAAACTAAAATTACTACTAACTAAACAAAAACAAGTGAATAAGACAAACATTCAAATATTAAAATTTAAATATTAAATAAAAATAATTGTAAATATTATAGAAGATAAATATTTTAATTACTTCAAAAAAAAAAAAGAATTTTACTTACGTTTTTCATTGGAAAATTGGAATGATTTTGAAGATGGATTTATGTCAACTGAATCCCCTTTGAGAAAAGCACTAGAAAAAGACCGTTTCAACTGGGCTAAAGTGCTGATGCTTCGATTGAGGCTCTAAAAAAGAAAAACAATTTCAAAAGAAATAAACCAAAATTATATTTTATCAAAAAATAAATAAATAAAAATATCTTTCATTAATTTTATTAAAAGGTATGAAAAATTCAACAAGTCCTTTCAAAGATTTGAACCCACTCAGGTCAGCAAAATTATTAACTAGGCGTGTTAATAACATTTAAGATTCAGCTAGAAGATTGCATTCATTTCTATTTATTTCTATGATTAATGATAACATCAGAGAAATAAGGAAATTTTCTTTTTACAAAATTCCACAACTGAAAAGAAATTATATCTGGTGGCAGGGACCTTCTGAGTCATTATCTATTAAAGTCATTGCTGGGGGTGCCACTATAAATGGATTTTAGTAGTGTATATTAGAGTTTATCTTACACTACATAATTAATGAACATATTTTTTAATACTACAGTTCACCTAATAGAAGGCTCGAGGGCCACTCAAGGACGAGGGTTACTGTTAAAATAGTTATGATAAATGAGGTATGATAAATGAGATATGATATAAGTAAAAGAGGAGTTGGTAAGAAGTAAAGATTATGAAGATAAAGAGGATAGGTAGCAATTGATTTGAAGAGGTCAAGATTGTAATGTTCAAGAAAGCATTAACAAGGGATTCTGTTCCACAAAATAACAGTTCTTGGGGAAAGTTGTCCAAGTGGAACTTTCTCCTTACATTTCGACTACAGGGGAAATGAGGGTGATTCAACTCTGTGGAAGTAGCAAGGAGTGTACTACCTGCAAAGATCTGAACTAGTGGAACTAAGATTGGAGCTCATTTGAACATTTACCATGGAAATGTCTGTGGGTTAACCCACTTGGCTCTGCCAAAAACACTCATTAGGGGGTGTTTTTAATAAGTCTATAAAAAGGTAATTATATTCTCTTTCTCTTTTTAACTCGTGCATCCAGATGTAGTTGATGTAGATAAAGAATGTTGGTAACAGGGTGCATTTGCTTTCTTGGTCCTCTGTTGACTTTTGAATTCTCTCACACACACAAACACATATACACTTGTTACACAAAACAAGCATACACTTGTTACACAAAACAAGCATACACTTGTTACGCATACACACAAAACAAGCATACACTTGTTACGCATACACACAAAACAAGCATACACACAAAACAAGCATACACTTGTTACGCATACACACAAAACAAGCATACACACAAAACAAGCATACACTTGTTACACATACACACAAAACAAGCATACACTTGTAACTAGTTTTAATACCTTTTCTTTCCATTTCAATTGACTACACATGTAATTCCTTTTCTTAATAACATGCATTGCCATTTGTTTTAAACTCATTGTTTTGTTTCTTATTTTACCTTGACTCACAAGAGTCTGCCAATATTGTTTGCAGGATAAATATTCCAGGAGCCCATAAATATTTAATATAAAATGTCTATACACATCATAACCAATGAGGTGACATACAACATGATGGTGACTTATTTTTACACAAACATAGCAGTATCCCGCAACATAGCAATAGAGTAGTGATAGGTTTGCAATGTTATCTCTGTAGGAACGAGAGGCTGCAGAGTGAAGAATAAGCTACCCACTCCCCACAAAACCATACAAATTATTTAAAATTCTATCATGGTTGGAAAGTGAGAATTGAGCAGCTTCATCATGGATATGTCAGGAATACTTCATTTTTGGTCTAATCTGACTCTTGTAAAAATAAAGCATAGTAGGAGTGAGTTAGGTACTTCCTGGAGCAGTAGAATGAGCAATTTTCACAATATCCTTACCAATGTAACATAAAATCCTAAAATTGGATCCTAAATAATAAGTAAAAATTCAAAGTTTCTTAAAGATAAATCAAATTGCATAGAAAATCTCTACCTGATTATTTTGTTCAAAGTTCTCACTGTCCTGCTGACTGAAAAATAAAATATATCAATCATTGAGAGACCATAACAATAAAAATCAATACAAAGTAATGATTTCTTACAAATGTTTTCTAGTTTCTTATATCACAAAGATGTATAAAATACACAATATTCCAAGTTAAATAACATGAAAATATTTAACAGTTACACATTATCATTTTTTTAGATGAAATATAAACAATTAAGTTTTGACTGTCATCTTAATTTCAGTTGCTTTTTGTTGCAATTATCAGACTGTCATTCTACAAAGATTAATAAGCAGTTCAGACCAGAAATAAACATCCTCAGAATAGTAGTTTATCAGGCAAGATAAAAGTAGCACCCTTTTTGGTTAAAATTCAGTCCTTTGGTGGTGAGACTAGAGTGGCCTCTCCAGGACACAGGCCCAGGTGATGGTATATGGTGGCTGTGTGCTGTCCAGACCATATGGCCCCCTCTCTTGGCTGTAAAAACAAGATCCAAAGGAATACAGGGTATTACAATTTAGTTCAGCTGGGCTGAAAAAGTTGCTGGCATATTGTCAGTGTTGACAGCAAACTGCCTTCAGGGCTCCAATCATGTTTTTCTGTCTGGATAGACTTCCATAGCCTTTTCTATGTTTGGATATGACCGATGATGTTCTATATTAGATGGCCAGGTCATAATGCAGGAAAGGAACAAAACTGGAGGCCAGTTTTAAATGTTCCTTGATCCAATGAGAGCAGTGGGGCATCTTAATTTCAGTTTGAGTTTGACTTGGCTGTTCCACCAGTGTTCTTGACTTAAGAAATTCAAAGAATTTTTTCCTTACATTTGGAATATCATTTATCTTATTTAATTGAAGTAAATATAAGATTTATTTATTTTGAGTTGAATATTATTTAGATGTAGATTGTAAAAACAAACAAGCACTATGCAAAAGTGGTATTTAAGAATCTTGGTCTTCTTGTTACTTTTAAGCTTCTTATTTAACATTATTCACTTAAAGTTTATTAAGGTTCTTCTCAAAAAAAAAAAAAAAATGAAAACGCACTTCACTTCTTCCATTCTTCACTTATTTTCCACAGACTTTTTTCTTTTCGAAGATGTTTTTCTACACTTGTTTTTAAATTTTATACTTTGAAATTTATTAAATATAAATTACCATTATTATTTCACAAAGTTACTTTAATATTATTCTTTAATATTGCTGTTATTTATAAACAAATGCATTCATAGAATTATTTTTTTTTATTAGTTGTATTTTTCAAGGTAAAATAAACAAATAAATGTCATATTCTTATTATAAACCTAATAAAAAAGCCATTTAAAAATGTTTTTACGTAAATTTAATGTCATATAATAAAATTTAATATAATTCAATATTCTAAAAACATGGTGAACAAAATATTAACCATGCTGCTGCTTGTTGCTCAGCCATTTTTCCAGGTTCCTCTGTTGCTTGCAAACAAATTACAGAAGCCAGCAAGACAAAATTGTGTGTGTGATGAATAAATTATCAGTTTATTGTTTTCCAAAAGAGAAAGATGAAAGAGATTGATGGAGAAAATCAGTTCCAAATGCCAATCTGAATAAATGCACCCCCAAAATACCATCTGTATTGGCCAAGTGTCAAATACCAACACCCTCTGTGTGCAAAGGGATATCAAAAAAACCTTCAGCACTGCTCAAAATAAAATTGGTGATAAAATGAATGCTTTTTTAGAAATAGATTAATTATAAAAATTTGAAAGAAAGTCTAATCAACAACAAAAAGACTGTGTGTGTCCAGTTGTAGCATTTTCGGCTGAAAATATTTTAACTGTTCAGTCATCAAAAGTTATCTCTTTATGTTAAAAATTTATAAAAATTTGCAGTTGAAACTTTTCATTATGGAGTTAAGTTAATATTAGCAGCCTGTCCAAAAAACATAAATACAGTTGATACTTGGTCGAAATTGGAAGAAATTATCCGATATTTAAATTCTATGGCTTTTGATCACAAGAAGGATATCTTGAGACAGCACTTCTCAGCAATGGCCCCCAAAATGGTTGGAATGAAATATAGCTGATATAGTAACACATGCTTTTGAGTACTATGCAACATCATGGTCATTTTATAATAGATTAAGACAAGATTTTCAATTACTATCATTAGCAACATTAAGGAGGATAACATCAAATGTTTCAAAACTTAATGAAAAATCTTTTTTGCTATCTTTATTTAATACTCTTAATGCCAGTCAAAAAGGGTGCATAATTCTCCAGGATGAAGAATATCTCAAGAAAATGTTACTATATCATGGCAAACAACTATTTGTTAAGTCAGTTGACAATCCATCAAACAGTACTTGGTATAAAATTGATATGTCTTAATGGGGGTCTAAAAAGATTGATTCCAATTTCAAAATTAACATCAGCTTTTTTATTTGAACAAACTGAGTTAACAGCTCAGGCCATCACCTCTGTACCAGCTGATATAAAGTCTATTATATGTGATGGCAACTGGGTAAATCAAGCTTTTTGTAAATTATATCCCACACTCCCTGAAAAACCTTGGTTAACTGAAGATAATAAACATTTACTTTTTGACGATGTGCATCTGTTGAAAAATACTCACAATTTGATGTCTCATAGAAAAGACGGGAGAACTAATCTTTGATGACGATGGAGTAAAACAAGTTGCAAATTTGGGACATCTTAAACAGTTATATCATTTTGAATCTGAAAGACTAGTTAAACTTTCAAATTTAAATGAAATTTCCATTGCTCTGAAGCCCATAAAAAGACAATGGGTTTCTACTTGCCTCAGAGTGTTTTTAGAAAAAAATATATATATAATGCACTTCTCACATAGTCTGTAATAAGTGTGGATAAGAATAATACTGCCATTTTCATAAACAAGGTTTTGACATGGTGGAAAATTTTAAATGTTAAGACCCTTCAAATTGATCAACTACGCAATGACAAGCTGAAATCAGATCAGCTGATTTGATTTTATCATTGAGTTTGGTCAAATGACTCTTAATATGGCTGGCAGTCAAGGTACACCATACTTGCAGTGGAATTGTTAGTCTATGTCAATACCTTTTAGTTATAAGACATAAATATATGCTACTTGGGCAATTTACAACTGGTCCATTAGAAAAAGAATTTAGTAAACTTCATCAACTTTATAAATGTCCCAAGCAGACATCTTTATTTTTAAATCAAAATGATTGATGCTTTTGATGTGAAGACAGATCACCAATCTACATCTTGTGATTATAAACTTTGTCAGGAAGGTTCAGAAATATTTAACAATCTGAAAAATTTAGAACCATCCCTTTCGGATGAAATAAAAATGACTCTCATATACATAGCTGAAATGACAATCAACCTATTTTTATTATGAAAAGTATGGAAAATATACCAATTGACTGTGGAAAACTAAAAGTTCCTTCTGACAACATTTGCCAATGGTTACTTTTTTTGTTTCATCCTTTTCTATACAATAAAGGAAAAGGTGTGTTATAAATTATTAAGTAACATTTTTATGATTATTTCTGAGTTTCATTTTTTCAACATGGAGAGAAAGCATGCTCATATTTTTTCAAATATAGTTTTGAAAAATTTTTTACAAACATTACACACCCAGATTAGACAAAGAACCTGCTTTAAAGGTTTTGAAATTTTCCTAGAATGATTTTGTTTTATTTGCTTACATATCTGAGATGATTGTCATATACATATTTTGGCTGATGCCCTCCAGCCTTCTTCAGGTACTGCTTGTTGAACCTGGTAACTTTAAGGGAAATTTGAACCAGACTCTTTATTCAATCCTTGAGGGTAGATTGAATAAAGAGTTTGGTGAGACCAGTAAATAGTGGGTATGTTTCTGTTTCAATATTATGTGGACCATATATTTTACCAGAAATCTTAACTACCTCTTTATTTTGTTTAATACTTATCAGTATCCACAACAAAAATACATATTTTCATTTATTTAATTTTCAACACATCTTATTATCCCCAGGTATGGGTCAAAATGTTATTCTAAGTATTTTCAAAAATAGTTAACTTAATTTTCTTCAAAAATTTCTGAAAATCAAACATTTTTCAATAAGCCTCCAGTTCTGGCTCTCAGTTATACCATGAGTAGGTCTGGAGTATAGTACACCATGATATGACCTCAAAGCAGCAAGGGTTTAAAATCAGGGTTTTCCTTCCCCAAGATGTACTGCCTTCTTGTGATGTCTATCTACCCAAATCAGCAGGTTATGAGGTACCAGTGGTACATCTTTGCCCCTTCTCCAGCTTGGAGATGGACAGCTGTCAGAAGCTATTTGAGACACACTTGAGACACACCTGAGACAACAGAATGATGATGTGATAAAAAGCAAGTGAGATTAAGATGCATACATGGAATCCATGTGTAAAATATAAGTTAAAATAAAAATTCATTTTTTCCTCTTCAAAATCCTCATCAGAAAGAGCAAAAAAGATTCTTCATAAGAAATTAAGAATTAAGTCAATTCTGACACAAGGCTATATTTGCAGAGCACCAAGAAATGATGGAACTTGTGAGGCCAACATGCTAACCACAACTAACAGTACTCAATTGTGTATTATAATTCTGTGGATATTTAAAGTTTTATTGTGAAAGGAAGACAAATGCTGCATTATAGAGAGAAAGTAGGAAATAAAATTGTAATACATTTGCATTGGAGATGTAATTCAATAAACAAAATTGAGGATTTCTAAAATCTCAAGGAAAAAAGCCTAATAAAACTAAGAGAGAAACAAGTTAATTTCCTTTAAACATGCAATATTTTTAACTTTTAGCACTCTGCATTATTAATATTACTTCCATTTCCACTGCATTCTTTTTCAAGGTTTCTCAATTGCAGTATCCTTATGGTTAATTCCACTCAAAGTTGTTTTGCTGCCATAGCAGGATATAACAACACAACTATGAAATTCAAACATACTATAGTTCAGGGATTAGCTTCACCTTTAGTAGCAGCATAAACCTTTTGTACAGCAAACAAAGTCACATACAGAATGATAATGATTAATAATGCAAGTCAAGAATATAAATAAGTTCATTGAAGAATATAATTTATTATTTGTGATGAAATTGATGGAGAATTTGCATGCACCAATCATAGTATTTGTTTACCAATACACATGTTAACATAGAATAAGGTTATTCATATGATGCATTTTTGTATGACAACTTGACATAGTTAGCAAGCTTATTTCACTATGACTGAGTAGTGAGTTTGAGCCTCACTGGGTGCCCCATACTTTCAGCCTTTTGCCACATTTAATCTATGCTTGTGAAATCACCATATGATACATTTTGTTCTGGTTATTTGTTGCTCTTCAATGTTGATTTCTTCTGCTACATGAGCAGTTTTGATATAAAGTGAAATTTACCCAAATTATCCAAGTGGCTACAACTTGGTGTTCAACAAATCAACAAAATTTCAAATGCTGTAATTCTATGCTACACTAGATTTACTGACTAAATGATGGTGCTACAGCATCTGCCAAAAAGATCAAACATTTTTATGGTCTTGCAAAAAGTCGGTTTAAGCCAATTATAAATTCATATTTACTGAAAAAATTAAAAATGTGTAAGCAGTAATTACTAAATCTTTTAACTTCTTGAATTATTTGGAAATAAAATTTGCAAAAAAATATACAATACATTCTTTCCATTGAAATCATTCAATATTCAAAGGATGATGAGATAAATAAAAAAAATAATATATGCAAATTTGCAATTTTTGATTTGTATTTCAAGTTTGGTACAAGGCTATATTTCTGCAGTAACAAAATGTAAACCTCTTATACCTTTCAACAGGGCTGCTTAATTGCAGAGATTCAAAGGAGGATGATTCTATAAAAAAGTATAAAACAATTATTAATTAATAACAATAAAAAAAGTACTTAACATTTAATTAACATTTGTTTCTACAACATCAAAGCACATCAATGAAGACTGAAGCTTCTTTCTAACATAAGGAATATTGAAAATATTTCATAATAAAATAATCACAGTCATCTTAAAATGCAAAAATTAAATTTAGTTTTCTGTTCAAATATAAAACTTATATTTAAAATTAGCTTATCACCATAAACTATTATAATAAAGTAAATTTTCTTAAATATGAAATTAAGTTGAAAATCTGTTTTTATATTTTCATTCACATACTGTAATCTTCAGTGCAACATTTGTAATATCTGAGAATAAACCGTGCATTTTGAAGATTATATTTACTATATAGCAGCCAAGAGGCATCTTTTGTTGACTATATCACAGTTTGTTATCTTATGTTGATTAAATTTTTGCTCAATCAAAACACTTATTTGTTTGCAAAAGTCAATCTACAAACAGGTAGGCTTGTAAATATTTATAAAAGCAGTGCAATAAAGAGAATCCATTAGCTTTACACTCTTTCCTTTCTGCATTGTTTTTCTATTCATTTTTTCCTCACTATAATTTTCCACCTGCCATTTTCCATTATTTGCTCACAGTATTCTACTTTTATTATTATTATTATTATTGCAACAATAGATAACTCAAAATGAAAACTTATTTTGTTCCTAAACAAACTTATGACATTTCAAATTAATTTATATTATTTACATGTAGATTACTGTCATCATCTTTGTTATTATTCAGCTCTTGTACCCTCCAGACTTAATAATGTCCTTTTTGATCCCAGTAACCTTCAGTTTGAAATTCCCTATTTCCAACAAACCAATGATAACTCCTCATTGCAGAAATCCAATCAGAAAACCTCAAATTAACTATCACACAATTTGATTATTTCTGGTTATTATCAATCTCAAATCTACATTTTGTTCTTTTATTTTTGTAATTTTATAATTTCTATTTTAAATTTCTATTTCTTCTATAGAAACTATTAGACCAAATTAACTAAATTTTTAATTTCATGCATCAGCAGAATGCATATCAAGTCTAATCCGTAAGTGAGACAAAGGTTGATATCAAAATTTGAAAATTAGAATAAAAGTTCCATTCAAAGGTTCCCTGATATTAAGCCATTAATGTCCACAGTTCTGTTTTGGGGACAGTAGGCACTGATAGGCTACAGGTTGAAACCTATTTTTTTAAACCTCAGATTTAATATCAGATTTTTAGAAACCTATAAATAATAGAGGATTTATATTTTCATTTTGTAATACCAGATTTTACACTTGGCATTAATGAATTAAACAGATACAATATTTATCAGATGAAGGCTGTAAAGCCAACCAGTTGAATCAAATATCAAATTGATATGCTTTAAATAATAAACAAGAAAAATATACTAACAAGTAATCCATAAATGATTAACAAATGAGAAATTATTGATTATGAATTTTTCCTGAAATAAGTGTTTAAAATTGCCTCTTGGATCCTACAGGCCAAAGGTTTTTTTTGTTGTTTTACTCAATTTTTTTATTTATTCTTTTTACAAAATTTTTCAAGTCAAAATTGAAGTCCATCTTTGAAGCTGGGGTGTTCTTAACACCAGACAATAAGTAACTATTTTTATATCATCCATCCTCAGAATTGAACTGAAATAGCAAGAAGCGCTTACTTTCATCCTTTGTATTTTTACTTTAAAAATTAAAATGATGTAAATTTCTAGGATTAACACATTAATCCCATAAATAAATCTTTTTTTAATGAGAACAAGTTAACAGGAACTCACCTGATTTTGTGATGGGTGTTAACTGATTAACTTTATAAACAGATGATGTTGGTTCATACATTGTAATGAGGGATGCCTGCAAATAGGACATTGAAAATTTTTTAAAATACTCTTATGAACATTAAAAAAAAAATAGATGAGCCTGGGAGCCACCAGATTTGCTTAAAAGAAATCCCCTCATAAACAATTAACACAGAAGCTGGCTGACAAGCCAGCTGTTGACAATGATGAGCTCTAATCATGACCATCATGACTGCCCCTCTCATCATCCACACTGTGACCTCAGTCAATCCAGTCAACTAGATGCACTGCTTCACTATCACACTTCAGGTCTCTCTTGACATCAACACCATGACTTCAGTCAACTGACACAACACACATATCAGCTAGAGACTCATCCTCTTCCAACATCCACACCATGCTCCCATACAGAGATATTCTGCTCACATCAGCAAAGTCAGATTTGCAGCTTCATTAATTTACCCAAGGCCTCTCTCATCATCACGACCTTGATCTCTGTCAACTGACCTGCCAAATGCACCTTACCAGGCCTTACCATGGATCAACCCCACCAACGACACCCATTGTGCTACCAACTGCATATACCATGTGAACTCAATACTGATGAATCCACACTAGATATGAATTTTTTCACAAAACTATGCATTATGTATATATTCTGAAAATTGGTCAATACCAGCTTGTTGAAAATTTAATCCTTGTTTGTTCTTTCCTTTGTAAACATACACTGAATATAACAACTGGTATCAGAAGCATGCAGCAAGGGAAATGGACTATTCAGGTCTTACCCACACCAAACTCAGCAAAGGAAATGGATTATTCAGGTCTTACTTGCACCAAATTTCTCAACCTCATCAGAGAACAACTGGCATCAGCAGTGTGCAGCAAGGGATTAGCAAAATAGCAAAATGAACCCTCCAACAACAGAAAAAAGCTACAATGTCTCATTGCATGTCTTGTTTGAATCTGAGAATTCCTTGAGACATGTCTACACGGATAAATCTGACCTAACTCATTCTTCACACTGATGGCCCCTATACATGAACTGAACAGTGCCAGCAAACCATTTGACTGCACTGAAAAAAAAAAAAAAAAAAAGATGAGCCTAGGAGCCACCCGATTTGATTAAAAGAAAGCCCCTCATAAATGGCTGACACAGAACCCAGCCAAAGGGCCAGCTGTTTACAATAGCTGGCTCTCATTTTCACCACCATGACCTCGATCAATCCACTGTAACAGCAAACAGATTCCTGAGTTCATTTGACTTTTCACACACAAAACCTGGCCGATTGATACGGCAGCCTCTAGTCATCATTACAGTGACCTAAGTCAATCCATGGTAATGGCAACCAGATCTTTATTATCACATTCCAGGCCTCTCTCAACAATACCACTGTGATTTCAGTCAACTGGCCCAACACACATTTCTGCATGATCAAGCTTTTCTGTCACACTCCAAAATTCTCCGACCCGCTAAATACACCAACTCCAGATTCCTGACTTCACGTGATTCTTCACACACAGAATGCAGACGACAGGCCACCTGTTGACGTCACCACCATGCTTTCTACTAACCTTGATGGTTTTACTTATACACTCCAGGCCTCTCTCAACAATACCACTATGATCTCAGTCAACCAACCCAACAAATCTGTCAACACCCAGCCTTACTAACAACACCCTTACACCTAATCACTTCTCTTACCAACAGCAACTAAAGAATATCAAGAATTTTGTGTATCAATGAAATGTAAAAATATATATATATATATATATATATATATATATATATATATATATAGATAGAATACATAAAATGTTAATGGTCAGGGTTGAATCAGACCACGAAACAGTGGTATTAAAAAGTGCTCAATACACGTGTGGAAAAAATAAAATAAGAGTAAAAATAACATGTAGAGCTTTTAACTTTAAAAATCAGGAGATCAGTTGAATTTGCTACCTTGGTTTCAACATTACAGCATCCTCAGACGATTTTTATCAAATGACCTCTTTATTTTTTTAAAAACTAATAAATGCTATATTATTTTTTTTAAATAAATGAACAAATGCATGACGTAGGGTGGAGGAGGGTGTGAAGAAAGAAGAAGAAGGAATTATTTTAAATAATACAGTATGCATTATTTTAAAAAAAAAAAAAAATGTTAGGTCAATTTATAAAAAAATTTACCTGAGGATACTGTAAGGTTGGAACCAAGGTAGCAGATTCAACTGATCTCCTGATTTTTAAAGTATATATATATATATATATATATATATATATATATATATATATATATATATAAAATAGAGAATTGAGTATTTTATTCCACCCTTGAACTGCCTGAAGGTTGTAAGACTGCCATATAACAAATTGAGAGTCCACAAAAGTCACAGAAAGGCAGCAATATATGTGTATCTTTTCTTTTCTTTTTTCTTATATATACAGGGTGTATTAAAAATACTTTTACAAACTTTGGGGTCAGGTTCTTCAAACTAAAACAAGGACAAAAGTTCTTATAAACATATGTCTGCACATCCTTTGTTTTCGAGTTATTAAGTTTAAAGAAAGTTTATGGGAGATGGTGCAGTGTTGGCATGTAGACTCAGTTACAATTGTCATTCATGTACATTTGTGGCTATTCTGTCTTCAACGTTTAACATGTGCACTAGTGAGTTAATTAAGAAGTGTTCCATTTAACAATGGCAGGATATTCATATTGTGAACAGGCAGACATGATTTTTACATAAAGCCATGTGAATGGTAAATGGACATGGATGTATCAGATTGCATTTCCAGACTGAGGGCAGCAGAGTCATCCAACCTTTGCTGCTGTTTATCATCGCATTTTGCTGAGACAGGTTCTGTGCCAACACAAACTATGGATCAAGGAAGACTGAGATCTGCTTGTACGCTTGACCATGAGGAACACATTCTACAGGCTGTCAGAGACAATCCAGGTATCTACTCATGTCAAACATATCATACATCTCATAGTACTGCATGGAGGGTATTTCAAGAGCAGCTCCTGTATCCATATCATTTTCAATGTGTGCAGGGTCTTTCGCCCTCTGATTACTCACCATGGGTAAACATTTGCCAATAGTTTATTGCACAAATTGCCGATCTGTTGTGTTTCTTCAGTTTTGTTTACAGATGAGGCAACATTTGGAAGTGATGGAATAATAGATTTACACAACCAACATTTGTGGGTGGATCGGAATCCCTATCATACAATACAGGCTAGACACCAGCATCAGTTTACAATTGATGTGTTGGCTGGAATTTTAGGTGACTGTCCATGTGTTCTCCCAGCGTGTCTTAAAGGGACTTCATGTTGAACACACTTCCACACCTGCTAGAGGATGTAACCTTGTTAATATGAAGACGCATGATGAGGCTCCAGCACATTTTAGTCATATTGTTTGTGATGCACTGACTGACATTACAAGTACAGTTTATGAGGGTAGCTAGGAAATATAATGGTTAACTTTAGACTTGAACAGGTTAAGATTGCAGTGATCAGGGAATATATTATATATAATATTTAAAACCCCAGATATAACAATTTCTATTCAAAATGAGGTCATATCAAAATAAGCAATAAATATAAACATATTGTAATTTAGGAACTTTGAGGACAAGTAATTCTTTCAGGTAAAACTAAACATGAAAAAAATAAAATTGTTAATGGTAAACGAAAATCTTTTACAAACCTTAATAGTAGCAAGAAGCATTTTTTCATTTTCCAAGAAAATCTGTCGTTTGTCAGGAGTAACATTAACATCTACACTTTCTGAAAATCAACATTTATTTTTGTTAAGTTTGTTGAATGCAAGGTAAGAAAAAGAGAATAAATTAAATTGTTTAACTCATGACTTTACACCAGATTCAAAAAAGTGCTTTAAAGAATGCATATATAAGTATGCATTTTGATGTTTGGTTATTTCATGAAAACTGAACAAACAGTACAAAATCTACAAACATAAACACTGAGAAATCTAAATTCAAAGTATTTATTATATCTTGACTACTAGTAATTCAGAGATCACTACTGATATTAGTTTCAGAAAATCAATCATGGCTACTGATATGAACAAGAAAGCTACCAACAGATTTTGACAGACAGCCCTTCAGCCCTATTCTCCAGGTTTTCCTCAACTTTTACCCAATATACTGAGCAGGCACCACTCCTTCTCTTGGTGAATCAATAAGGGAACAAGAGTTTCATACAACCAAAAACAATATAATCTTGTTTCCATTATCTATGATGGTGGTTAAGGACTAGTAATTGTGGATAATCCCTAGGAGAGAATATGCTATCATTGCCTGACCACCAGAAGACTTTTTATTGGACTATTGCATTTCCTTTCCACAGTATAAAGGGTAGCATTAAAGGAAAGTCAAGTTTAGCTACTGTAGTAAACAGCAGTTCATATTTCTGTAACTATTTACATTGTTCTAACTGTTGTCCTCATCTTTAATGTCATATTCACAAAGTTTTGGCTGCTGAATGCTCCAGCCTTCTTCTTCTCTTTATTTAGTCCACAGGGATAGATTGTTCTAATTCCATGTGTCATGCCTTTTATGTATATCTCAGTCCTTAGGGACACATGGCCCAGTGGATAAAAATGGTGGTTGAAGTAATCCAAAAGTGACTTGACCCAAAGAGTTGTGAGTTCAATACTTGGCCACAGCAGAAGTGAACAAAAGAAAAATTTGGAGAATTGATTACTAAAGGCAATTAACTGTAAAACCAAGATATCCAGAAAAGGTATGGCATGTGGAACTAGAACAATCTAACCCGGTAGACTAAATAAAGGGTTCAGTTCAAAATTCCAATGTATATCACCTGAAGACAGCAAAAACATTATGACTATGACAATAAAGATGAGGACAACAGTCTGAACAATCTAAATAGTGTACATATTAATAATTATACATTTACCTATGTTTACAGTATGGTATAAAAAGTTATGAATTGTTCAATATGGTTGTTATTTTTAAAAATTCTGGGTCTCATGAGAGCAACGATATATTGTGTGTGGATTCAAAGTTCAAGATTATAAATATAATATAGTATTGGGGTATAAATTCAAAATATAGAGTGTTGGTAGGTGGATATCGAAAAATAAACTTAGTTATAATATTAAGTTTAATAGTGATATTGATCCGTTAATGTTTATTGATTCAGCAAATAAGATTATTGCAATATGAACTAAAAAAGCTGGTAGTAATGTCAAAAACAATACAGGTAAATTTTTTTTAATTTAATTCACAAGAATTTCAGTAATATTCCATTGCTCAACAAGATTTTCAACAAGAACAACATTAAAATTAGCTACAGCTGTAAAAAAAAAAACAAAAAACTTTGAACAGTATATAGCACAAATTATATTAAACAAATATTTAAACAACTTCAATAATAATAATAATAGTACTGACAAAAATTTTAATTGTCGAAAAAATAGTATGTGCTCACTAAATTCTAAATACATGAATAAAGGTGTTATTTACAAAGCTAGCATTGAGCATAATGGCAAGACTAAATTTTATTTTGTCTCCACTACTAACCACTGGAAAATCTAATATTACCATCATAAAATGACACTTACCATTAAACATTATTCAAATACCACAGCACTCTCTAAATTTTTCTGGAAAATTAAGACAGATAACTACACACCTGTAGTAAACAGGGATCTCATCATTAAAACCAAACCTTTTACCCTCAACAAGGAAAAATATACTCCGTGCCTCTTAGAAAAACAAACTATTCTAAAATACATCAATAATCATAATCTGCTAAACAAGCAAAGTGAGCTTATGATCACATGCATTCATAGGAGGAGCTCCCTTCTCAAATATTTTGATATATGTTAAAGCAATTAACCTGCTTTAATACACCCCACTGACCCGCGTCTAATATATTTTTCATTTTCGGTTACCTCCCTTGCACCATCCTAGTGTTTAACGGTTACTCTAGCTCGCATTCCTTTTTTTTTATTATTTCATTATGTTTTTATTTTTCCTTACCTTTTCTTTTTTGTCTACCCATGCCTTTTATTTGGTAACTACCAGCTATTTTTTTAATTCATATTGCAATAATCTTATCCGTTGACTCAATATACATTAACAGATCAATATCCCTATTAAACTTACTAAATACCTTAGTTTATTTTTCAATATCTACCTACCTACACTCTATATTTTGAATTTATACCCCAATACTATATTATATTTATTGAAATTCGAATCCACATACAATGTAGCATTGCTCCCATGAGACCCAGAACTTTTTAAAATAACAACCATATTAAACAGTTCATAACTTTTTGTACCTGATGAATGAGTAAACCATGAAACTAATTCATACTGTAATGAAAAATGTAATATAAAGGTATATGTGTAATTATTAATATATACTTTATAGCTCCATTTAACTACATTGTTTTATCTACACCATTGATTAAATAATTATTTACACACCTGTATGTGCACATAATCACTCACATGCTTGGAAATGTGATCTGAGGAACCAGGAAAAAATCACTTTCCTGGGGAAATAAAATATAATCAATGGAGCCTTAAGGTTGTCTGTTTTTTTAATTAAATTAATATTCACTCTGGTTTTACATTGAGCTCTCTGGATTACATTCTCCTTGGGATTATCCATATGGATTACCAAACATTTCATTACCTACCTATATATATATATATATATATATATGTGTGTGTGTGTTCTGTATGTATGCATATGTATATATAAGCATAGTACCCATAAAAAATGACAGAATTATTTATGCAGGGATCAGCACTTCTACTTAGGATTGAAGTATCTGTGCACTCTGATTCAGGTCAAAATGTCACTTTCCAGAATTTTTGGTAAGGATAAATGTTATAACTTTGCATTTTGTGAAAAATGTTATGCACACACACACACTATATATATATATATATATATATATATATATATATATATAACTTTAAAACTGATGGTAAAATTGTAATGTGTGTTCATTCCCTTCAAATTCAATAAAGAGGTTCAATCAAAGTTATTCATCCCTTGTGCCAATTGAAAGAATAAAAAATGCCAGGCAAAGAATGAAAGTAATTCTGAAGAATACACTCATAAATAATAAAATTTTGATTAGCAAGTAACTGAGTTTGCATCAACATTGTTTTCAGTACAATCAATATAATGTTCTGGAGAAAATATGCCTGAACAGAATGAAGCAAATTTCCAGTTATTGATCAACTATTGATTATCTATCATGATATACAAACACATGAACATATCTATACATTGTCAGAAAAAAAAATTTAAACACCCTGAATATGAGTTTCAATTTACTCAAGATTAAACATACAGGTAATATGGGGTTTATAGTAAATGTTTACATCTACCATGGAAAATGTAATATAAAAATCTATATATCAGACTAAAAGAGATTAACTGAATGATAAAATAAAAAAAAAAGACTCCTAAGTAACACATTTCATCCTTCAAAAGGATTAATAATGGTTAGTAGACTGCCCATAAACCCGTTGGGTTCCTTTTAAAAGCAGTTCATGATACAAAATGATGTTTTATTTGAAATACAAGTTATTGTAATAATTATTATTACTCACATTATACAATATTAGAAGATCAAACACAATAAGAAATTAATAAGAAAGTTAACATTTTTTAGAATGGAATTGCAAACTCATACTACACTAAAGGCCATTCAAGATTAGAATATTAGGATTATATAGATATCAATGGGATTTTATATATGGTGAAGGCGAAGTATAACAAATGCTGGATATTTTTCTACATTGAGAAATGCTGAAGATACAAGGCTTAGTTTTTTAATTTTTGGCATCCAATGTATCTAGATACATTGGATGTAAAGTAAGCAAAGAGTCTGTTGAGATTGGGGGGGGGACACCTAACTGTCCTCCCAGCAACTATGGGGATAATAGGGAGAGAGGGGGGATATAGACAGGAGGTAACAAAAAATAACACTTGAGGAACAAAATGTCCACAGGACCGACTTCACGAGACACCATGTCTTGTCGACTGCTGTTTTTCCCCAGCTTTTATTGACATGAGGTGTCTTACAAAGACCTGGATCTTGATCAGTTGCAGAGAGGCCTGTATACAGACATGCTAAACTATCCTGAAAAAACCTGGATGTAATTGGTGCTGACAAACATGCTCCTGTGCGTTCACCACAGATGCATAAACTAGTCAACCTCATTCAACTTTCTATTTCTTTTATCACCATTGTTTTTAGATATCCCACATTGCAATAGCAGTAATTTTATTAGGAAAGGTGATCTTAATTATTAGTCTGAAGAAGTCTTTTGAAGGACAAAATACATAACATAGTTTTTTTTGTTTTGTCATTCAATTACCAAATATAAAGATCAATATAATCACAGGTTCCAAAATAAGGACTGTATCAATTGTACTCAGACCTTCATATTAATAACAAGTATATCTTCTTTGAACATTAACATAGACTTTACTCTCATATAAATATGATTGTACAAAAGACAAATGCACACCTCTGATATATTACTTCATGCCTCTTGCACCTGTTGATGTCATATAGCAAGAGTTATAGGTAAGTTAACTGAATAAATTGGGTCTGTTTGTCATGGACAAGTACACTTTGAAAGGTATTGCTACCCAGATCTATGTTACACACATAAATGACTGTCACTTGAATGAAGGCAGAATATTCTTGCACCACTCTGCACTACCGAGTACCATTGGATTTCTTATGCAGTACCACTGGAGATGTGCACAATGATGATGTGATGTAAGTGGAAGTCTTGTTGGAGGTATGTTTAACCATAGTTCTGCTGCATGTAAATGATACCAAACAGTGGCACTCATGTTGTCAAATTTGTTATAATTTGTCCTGTGTATACTATAATGACGACTATCCTTACAATGTCCTGTTCCTGGCAAACAATATTGCCATCCAGAACATGATCTACAGTAATAAGAATTTTCATTTGATCACCGTTGCTAACATGAATTCACCACCAACATGTCACATCCACATCCATCAACTTGAAAGCCTACAATCCGAATCCCTCTTAAACAGATCTAATTAAACAAAAGGAGCAAGGGCACATCTCCATAGCATGACACCTGCACTGAATTCTTTCATCACATTGAATTGGTGTCTTTGTCTAAAGCTCAGACACAGATGGTACACTGATATATGGATTACTATATCACAAGACCACAGATGGCTTAGAACATTTTAACAGAATATCTATCCATTTTCCAAAATTAACTTCATCCTTCAAGATGTTGCAATTTTATTTTCAGCCCTTTTCTTAAGTTAAAAAAGGAATTTATTTTGGGTTTTTTTTTGGCAAAAGTGATCTTTATTATTAAAGAAAGTAGAAAACATAATTGTGTGGAGTTATTAATTAGTCTTGTTGCCTTTAGCTTGAATAATTACCACAATTTGATGTGGCATTGAATGGAACAAGGTCAGAGATTTTGTCAATGAGAATTTTTTCTCCATTCTTCTTGGTAGTTATTAAACATTAATAATTCTTAGACATTTTGTGATTTTCGTTGGGGCACTTGCTTCTTCAGTTCCTACCACAATAGTTCAATTATACTGAAATCAGGTCTTCCAAAAGTCGAATATCTTCATCCATAAGAAACCTTTTTTCTTGCACATGACGTATGACAAGAAGGAATGTCATGCTGAAAAATTTCCCCATTTTCATAATCTGGCAGAAGATTAGTAGTAAGCTAATATAGTTTTCATTGTTTAAGTTTCCATCAACTTTTAGCAATTTCCTTCTACTATCACTTTTTATACAACTCCACAACAAATTTTACCATCTTTGTGGCATACCTTACATTGTTTCTTTTTCTCACTGGTCTTCTTACATATTTTCTTGCATTGCAACTCAATTTTGCAGCCATAACTAAAAATTACTTATTGCCACTTTCCAGCATCTATGTTACACACATAAATGACTGTCACTTGAATGAAGGCAGAATATTCTTGCACCACTCTGCACTACCGAGTACCATTGGATTTCTTATGCAGTACCACTGGAGATGTGCACAATGATGATGTGATGTAAGTGGAAGTCTTGTTGGAGGTATGTTTAACCATAGTTCTGCTGCATGTAAATGATACCAAACAGTGGCACTCATGTTGTCAAATTGTTATATCAGGCATATTTTCTCCAGAACATTATGTTCTTTTGACCACTTCACTCTTCTATTCTGATGTTTTTTGGCTAATGATGGGTTTTTTTTTGCTGCTATACATCCATTCAAGTTTATTGTAATAATCTGCAACAGTATCAACTGAAATCTCACTGTTAAAATTGCAGTCACTCCTCACTTGTCTGGTTCTTAATTTTGAATTGCCTACAGAGACTCTCACAATCTTATTTTCATTTTTCTTGAGTAATATTTGTGTTCTTCTTATTTTCTTTGCACTTAAAACACTTCCAGTAGTAGCAAACATCTTTTGGATGATTTGAACACTATTTCTGAAAATTCCCAATCACCTGACTATATCTTGTAGAGTCATCTTCCCCTTTAAAGTCACAAATTTCATCTTTGTTTCAGCAGAAATTTTAACCATGATTTTAGTGTAAGAAAGCAAGCTAATGTTCAACTACAATGACTTGCAAAGGTATTTTACACTCATGTTAATAAGATGGAACAATTCCTACTTAGATATTTGCATTTTATCTTGACTTTATCATCTCAGGTCTTTCATTGTCCCAATTTTCAGCTTTAAGTTACCCTACCTAACTACCTACAAAAATGCAACAATTTGTTTCCCAATCTACAAGGTCCACAGACACTACTGATAAAAGCATACTGTTAAAAAATCTTGACATCTTGACAAAATAAATGTGTATAATCATTTTATGGAGTTGGCCCAAAACGTTTACACACCAGTGTATATGTTTTTATCAAAAATCATTTTCCCAAACATCTGTACACTTGTGTTTGTTTCATATCAAATAATTATACAAAAAATAATATATAAGATAAATACAACCAAACAACCTTACCTTTGGCAATATTTACATGAAGTACAACAAAGGGATATTGATGTCGATTGTACATATGGTAGACATCATTTACAACTTTGCTCATCTGAAATACATTAAATATATATGTGTTAAATCTTACAGACACACACACACAAAATGGTCCTATTATTCAACTGGATATGTTGTTAAAAAGTAAACAAGTCATAAAGGCTAACCAATTAATATATATACCAAAATATAAACAATATATACCAAAATTAAAAAAAATTATTCTACATATAAAGTTTAAAGGTCAAACATTTAACTATTGTATAAAGTTCTGAGCTGAAATCATGATATAATGATTTATTTGAATTAATATCTTTATTTACCTTTGTTTATATTAGAATATTAAAATTAAGTAGTCTTAAGGGAAAAATTGCTTATATCATTCATAATGAAAAACATTAACTAAACAAAGCCAAAAAAGAATAAATTTTAACAGATTAAGGATGTTTATCAGATGTTACATTCACTTGACTCATGAATTGACAAAGTAAAATGCAAAAAGATGAGGATACTATGTCAAATGGAAGAATTAAAATTTTTATCACTATACACATTATCATAATTGATGAGTGAAATGTTGAATTTTGGAAGTGATAGATCATTAATTTGGTTCAAACCGTTTAAAATAAAAAAGTAAAGAAAGGGACAATGAAAAAAAGAAAATTAAATATTGCATAAGGAATTTTTTTATTTTGCAAATATACGCATTCTTATTTATTTATTCTCCATAAACTATAATCATAACTCTAAAATTTCTTTCTCTAAAACTGTTTTCAATTTTTCTTCTTTTTCATGCAATTAACATGTAAAAATGTTAAGGTAATATATGCTAAAACATGATTTTATATATTTACTGAACAATGTCAACATATTTGAAAATGATATCAATTATTTGAAACATATATTACATATAAAATATTATTAGTAAATATCTTGTTCAGAAACACAAAAGTAGTCATTTTAATATAAAAAAAAATGTTCACTCTTTCAAAAACATTCTAAAGTGTTTAGAATTTTCTTTATTATAGAAATGACTGACAAAATAAACAGAGAAATTTAGTAGACATTAAAGAAATAATTTGTTTTTGTGATAAAGCAGAAATGATTATTAGTACAGCAGTTTGAAATTGTTCTTATATTGATTATAATAAATAGTTAATTGAAATTTGAAATTCTTTAAAAATAATTTTGAGTGTTCAAAATTTTCTCTAATTTTCTATAATGAAGTTATTACATCTTTTACAAGTAAGAAGTGCAAGAGAAGAAACTATTAGCATAAAACCTGTGGTTACTTCAAGCAGCCATTTCAAGTGTAAAATGTCGAAACCTTGCTGCCAATCTAGTAGAAGATTTAAATTCATAAAGTCTAGGTACCAAAAAGGAAAGTTCATTAAAACAATTACCATGAAAATATTTATAGAAAAGATACAGGGAATCATTGTTAGATCTTGACAAATTAAAATGCTAAGATCAGGTCAGGTCAGGTCAGTCTGATGTTAAGATAGTGATGGGTGGAGATATGACCAATATGTGGATGTTGTCAATCAAAAAGTTGTTGACTTTCTGGTCACCATGTAAGAGCATCAAGCAAAAAACAAAAACTTAAAAAGAGAACGTACTGAAGACAAAAAGATCTGTGCATGTCTCTCTACAAAGTTAATGAATAAAAAATAGTAAAAATTCCTTTTCCTGATTTGTAATTGATTTCCTTTGAGAGAAAAAGAAAGAATATTGAGATTCACTTTCTATTTTATTGGCCATCTTGATAAGAATCAAATGTATACATAGTTACAGAAGACATTGAGTTTCTAAACATTAAGACATCTCTCTCAAAGTCTTCAACTCATTGTAAAGAAATCTTTTAAAATAGCATCATATTCACTATTGTGATGTGGGGTCTGGTAAGACACAACACTTAACTGAGTCAGTCATGATAGTAGCATTCAATACTCAGCTAGACAAGTCACTACAATAGAATAATCTTCTTTCTTCTAGACAATTACCCAGGACTACTTACCATAAATGGATCAGCCCATTTATGATAGTAAGGAGGGTAACTAGCTCTTACCACATCATGCATAAAAATGATTATTACAGGTATCAGTATTATTTAATTTTTACATCAAAGGAAAATTTTATTGTAAATCACTTACTTTAGTAGAGTCACATGGTCGTTTGTTAATGAAGAAGAATTGTCGATCTGTTGTGCTTCTTCCAGAATTATGTTCACATTTGGAGACAAATCCTTCAAGTCTGTTGAAAAATAAATTAACAATAATTAAACATCTAAAATAAAAAGTGTCTGATTCAAAATATGTTGTCATTTACAAAGAGAAATATTTTTGGATCTCATAGAAAAATTAAAGGGTGTTTTAGATAAACAGTCCAAACTAATTTAGAAAAAAAAGAATGACAAGACAGTGAGAGCAGAATAACTAGATGCAGCAGACACACACACACACACACATATATATATATATATATATATATATATATACACACACACATCAAAGAAAAAAAATTATCAAAAATATTTATGTAATTTTGGTCTGATGAAGCAGGTATTAAAAACTTGGCTGCTGAAATAAATTTATTACCAGATTTTTTAATATGTTAACTTTTTTTCCTTTGATGTATATCATATTGCTCTGTATACAATGCATTGAGCCCTCTTCATGGATCTATTTTTTAATATTTTATATTAAAAAGACCTACTTGGATTATCCTTTCCACTTATGGATTTGATATTATATATATATATATATATATATATATATGTAAATAAAAACACATCTATCAAAAATCCTATTATAATTGTGCCTCCCTTCATTAGTTTGCTGAAGAGTAAGCATTCTCAAAGCAAATTTGTGGCTTTCACAACACAAAGAAAGAGAATCACTTGTAACACGTCAGGAAAATAACTCACGAACGCCGAGTAAAACTGCCTGAATTTTCCTCCCGAGTCGACAACACCAACTGCTTTTATCGGCAGAACCTATTTTTTCCATTCGTCGACAGCCGGGATAGGATGCTCCGTAATTTGCATATTAATACACTCTTATAGCGACTCCTGCGACGAACTTGTTTCTTTTTCGCTTGGGTTGACGAGGTAAGTCGCTATAAGAGTTTTGCTGACTACTTTTCTTTTTGGCAATCCCTCCCCGGCAGATCGCACACAAAACACAAACTTTTTTCCGGGGTACGTGATTATCTCGTTCACTACATTTGCATAACCTCATAAATAATGGACTATTATAGAAACTATCTCACTTGTTGGCTATTGTGGCATGCAGGGGCTTCCTTGCTTTGCTTGATTCAGCAGTAGCAGCAATGGAAGTAATCAGCAATGTACAACTGGAAGTCCTAAAAGTCATAAAAGCCCTAACTGAGCTCTATTCAGTCTCTTTTCCATCTTCCTTTTCAGCTCAAAGGGCTACTCAACCTTTGGCAGCTTGATTCAGATTTCTCATGCCTCCCATGGGAACAGGCAGAGAAATCTCCTTGTTAGACACCTACCAAAGGAAATACTACACACAACCCTTGTTGTAGAAGACTCATTCCTAGTCCTTTACATTTAGATTTCTTATTCCTCTCATGGGAACAATCAGAGAAATCTCTTTCTACAAAATATCTACTCAAGAACTTTGTTAACAGGGACACACCACTTTTTTCCCACAAAATACTTTTATCTTCGAGCTGTCATTGCAGTGGAGCTGCCACAAGACCAACGAATTTGGTGCCCAAGTCTCACTGACAAATATAGGAAAATCATTAAATTTTCAGGGCTCTAGTGAAGGGATTATTTATATATGGAAAATGTGTCATTTTTGCTAGTTAATTTTATACATCAATTTGTTTTAGCTTAATAGTACACTAACAGACAAAAAGTGAAAACTTTTTAATGAGAAAAATAACATAGTCATCTAGTTGCTTAATTTTTATGTTCTTGCTTAAATTATGTTATTTGTATACTAAAAAGATATTCAATCAGGTTAAAAAAAATTAAAATATATATATATATATATATATATATATATATATATATATATATATATATATATATATATATATATATATTAATTATATATATAAGAAATGGATTAAATCCGGCATATTTTTATTTTTAATTCATTTTATTTAAACATTATTTTTGATGGATATACATTTATCAAGCTGAAGCTCTGGGTCTTTTTTGGGTTTTTTTTTAAACAGTATTTTTTATTCAACTACATCTACTGCTCTGAATATTCAAGAAATCTTGTCAGAGAAATATGCGTCCCCCAGCAGGATTTGAACATGCATCTCCTATGAGGAACAGTCATTGGATCCGACATGCCTAACTGCTCAGCCACGTTTGAACAAGTTAAATTAAAAAATAAAAATATAAATATCTACAAAAATAAATATGACAAAAATATAGTTTCAAGATCTGCTATATTTATGGGTTAAAATGTTCATATCAGGGATAAAGTGTATGTAAATATAAAAGTGGATACTGAGATCAACACCCAGTGCCAACAATCGGTTTCATGCTTAAACACAATCTTCAGATCATGTGTATTGTTTTAAATACAAATACACGAATAGCACAATGTTTTCCAAACTTATATGGGAAATTAAAAACAAATAATACCCAAAATATCATGGAAAATAAGGAAAACAGCATCAACCGACAACAATAAATCCAAAATCCTAAAACTCTGTCTGGAAAAAGAAAATAGCTATAATTACCTTCCAAGACCAACACAAATTACTAAATAAATGATCAGAACTAATCCCAAAATGATGCAAAAACAAATTTTTACGAAGTTACTTAAAAATTGAAAACTAAAAATGAATATAAAACAAATAAGTAAAATATAACAATCTAAATTAGTAAATAATAAACAAAATAACAAATTATGAATACACACATAAACACAAGTAAATGTAACAATCAACAAGTAATAAAGTAATCTATAATAAATAATGTGTAAAAAAGTTAACAAACAACACTATAAAATAGCTACTGCATTTGCACCCACAATTATTTCTACTCAACAGCATCTAGAATAATTTGGAAAATCATTCCTGCCCACCTACTATTAGAATAATACAATATTACCCATAATGTACCATAGAGCAGAATATATTAATAGTTGAGCCAAATCACCACACACATGGACTGAAGATTGCAGTTAAGCATGAAACAAACTGTTGCCACTAGGTGTTGACCTTTATGTTCAGTTTTATATTTATATACATAAATATAAATATAAAATAGTGCACTGACAATTGCTATATACATAAAACACTGAGTGGTATCAAGCAGTAAGGAACAAATATATAATTATTTTTAGTATATATATATATATATATACATATAAAAACATATATATATATATATATATATATATATATGAATGACAGGATAAGAAAAAATAGGAAATGTATGAATCAGGTTTCATGTGCATTTATGGTGTTCTGAACTCAAAGAGAGTCGTTTGAAAGCTCAAAAATTTAATGGATTCTAAGCCTAACTGATAAATTGTAAATATTGCTTTATATATGTCAGTGTATCATAATTCTAGTTTGTCTATATGGGATTCAGATAACATTGTGTCTTTTCTAGAAATACTTTCATGGTAATTGTTTGGATGAGCTTGTCACTATGGTACCTAGACTTTTTGAATACACAATATCAATTTACAGTTGAGCTGGCTAGATGTAGCCGTAAATTCTATGCTAACAGTTTCTTTTCTCACATTTTTCACTTATGGAACTCCCTTCCAGCTCCATGCTTTTCAGCCGACTTTAATCTGCAAAAATTTAAATGCAATGTCAATCACTATCTACTGTCCTCCTGATTACTCTTTCCTCTTTCTACTTATTGGTAATGTTTCTTTTCCACACCCAATAACCTCTTATGCTTTAGTGGCTTTAGTTCCTTGATTGAGGTGAAATCAATAAAAGAATTTTTTTTTAAAATATAAAGTAATAAAGAGGACCAACAAACATTTTACTATGCTGTAAAATTGACATGTTCAAACCTGAATCAGTAGAGAACAACCACAAATGTGTAAACCCCAATACCAGCAAGACCAACCTTGACACTACAAAAAAGAATGACCCACAGCAAGCAACCACACCAAATATATAAACAAAATCTGGTTGAAAGATATCATTTCTACAACATGAAGTTCAAAAAAAGAGTTACAAAAAAAAAATCAAGTTTATCAAGTGGCTGAGGCTCAGAAATTTGTATAAGCCACAAATTTGTCTCACAAAATCTCTGGGCTCTAAGATCAAGTTGTTCTTAAATTGTAGCTTTTGGATCAGCCGTATTTTGCACATGAGGCACATACAAGTATGTTTTGTTCCAGGAGGTAAACTATTTTTCCGCCTACATTTCATAAATTTCCATCTGTTTGGTTAATGAATGCCAAATGTTTCCTTATAAGAAAAAATAATATTACCATTACCAGAGGCAGATTTTATAGAAGTTATTATACTGAAAATATATTAACTTCTGAAAAGGACTATTTTTAGACCATGTATGCATGGGACCCCAATGTTAAAAAATCTTGTGCCACTTTCAGAACGAGTGGGTGTTCTGTTAAATATCTTAGAAACATAAAAATATACTTACTCAAACAGATTGGCTTCTTTTTCTGTCACTTTTATTCCAAATTCTTCACATAGCTCTTGGGTGGGTTTTATCTGCACAAACTCAGTAATAGTTTGCAGCTGTCAAAAAATAAGAAGATATTTCAATTTATCTTCTGACATCCTTTCTGCATCATAAAGAGAGTCTGGCATATTCAGGATTTTGAAAATCAAGGAGGGTGAAAATTATTGGGTCAAAATAAAAATATTTAGGGTTTTTTAAGTAATTTCAAAGAGAATATTTAGATATTTCTTTCTACACAAATCTATTCAATCACATATGTGCCATCTGCTACCTTTTGACATCTTTGAGACTGTCCTCACAGAAATTGGCATTCAGGTTTTTCGATCTTCTTCAGGTGATGAACTAATTTAATTGATTTTTACAGGCATTCAGGTTTTTCTCATTAAGAGAATTTTGTAAGAAACAAAATAAATGGTAGTCTGAAGGTCAGGTGAGTACAGTAGATGTAGCAACCAAGCTATGAGGCTGAAAAGTTCATAGGCTGACTATGAAGGGTTCCACAGCTCTAGCATCAATATGCTAGAGCTGTGGAATCTTGCATGCATTAATTTCAAATCTTATTAATAACTGCATTGTTTCTTTCCAGTTAAACTGACATCAAAATGTTCAAAGAAGATTGTTCATTCTGTTGGTCAAAAAAGTTATCAACAACAGATAACCATACTGATACCCAGCCAAGTATTTTTCATGTTGGGGAAAACTTGATAGTCAAATCAGAATAGAGAGCTTTTCAACCACTTCAAAGCAAAAGTCATGCACTGCAGCCATTGAACCCAAACATTTGTGTACTGGAGCATTGTCCTAATGAAACAAGACCCCATTTCTCAGTTTTACTGGGTATTTGTTCTTGATAGCCTTTCATAACTACCTCAGCAAATTGATATAGTACTCTCCATTGATGGTGTGGCCCTTTTGAAGATAGACCATAATCAATACCTTTTGCATCACAAAAAAATGAGGCCATTGCCTTCCCTGCAGATGAAAGGACTTCAGCCTTCTTTGGAGCTGCTTGGACTGTCTCTTTGTCCCTGGCTCAAAGTGACAATACTCATCATAGGTTAGGAGACATTCAGGGAAACCAGTTGGATCTGCCTCAAACAATGTCAGATTTTCTTGTAATGTGATCAGTCTGGTGTGCTTTTGATCACAAGTATAAGAGACATTTGTCATACCAAGTTCATTATGCAGAATATCCTCAACTCTCTCACGGAATATGCTAATAGCATTGGCTATTTGATTTAGAGTCATTCGCCTGTCATCCATCATCTAAATTCAGCTGCCCACTTTTGCACTGTTGATAAAGCTAGAGTGTTGTTCCCTAATGTAGCAACCATGACAACATGAATGTCCTTGGTGTTAAACCCTTTTTCTGCTGGTACTTGATATCACCAAAATGCCAAATTTTGCCCATTTTCAAGAGAAGTCGCTACTAGTAACTTTTGGAAGTCTTCTTTGAACAGTCAAATGTCAATTTATGTGGAAAGAAACAATGCAGTTATTAATAAGAAGAGTTGAAATGAATGCATGCACGATTTCACAGCTCTAGCATCAATCCTTCATAGTTGCCCTATGAAGTTTACCCTAATATCCCAATTTCTGCCATATCTGCAAATAGATATCTGATGATACTATTCCAAATGGCTAATTCTGGATACTTTTCATCATTTTCTGCTTTTGACATGCCTGAATTCAACAAGTGATTTTACAGAAGGAGTTTATAATGCCTTTCCAATCCCACCAGATACACAATATTATCTTCTTTAAATGCAGCCCAGCTTTGATTTCTTGCACTAATAAGGCTTGGCTGGCCAATGTCTTCATGACAGTTGATGATCTTCCCTTTTTGGAGAGAGAGAGAGTGTGTGAGTGGACATAAAAATCAACACTACATTGTGCCTATCAAATGATCTTCAGAGATTGTGTTCAAGCATGTTGCTACTTGGTGTTGAACTCAGTGTCCACTATATATATGGCCTGATGATTGCGTCTAGCATGAAAGAGCCTGCCACCTCTAAGTGTTGACTACAATGTTCACTTTTATATTTACACACACTCTATCTCTGATATTTATCCTATAAATATAGCACACCTTAAGAGTATATATATATATATATATAAATAAAATATTTAGTGATGGATGCAGGTGTTTGAGTAAACATCTATCTTTTTTAAACATTGTATCTACCAGCCTGAACATTTGAGAGTCTTGATAAAGTAAAATGTGCTTTTCAGCAGGGTTTGAATTAGTATTCCACTTTTATTGCTTGAAGTTAGTTTCCTAATATAAGGGGGAGAGTGGTTTGAACCCTGACAAAAGGCTCATTTTCTTTATTAGGACTGTCTACCAGTAGACATCAATTATACTGTTTAAAAATACATATACATATATTATGACGTGTGTCTACAAAAACATCATCTTCATGTCATCACACTCTTTCTTCCTACCACACACCTTCCCTTCATCATACCCTTTCCTTTTCATTGCAGCAGTAGATAAACATGCTAATTATAGCCTGTAATTGCCACAATCAGCAGCAACTGGGCCAAACTGGCAGACCACAGTCTACCAGTTTGGCCCAGTTACTGCTGATTCAAAAATTTTGAGTAGCACCGATTGGACAACCACAGTCAATCAAAAAGTGGAGTAATGGTATCAACAGAGAGCAATCACAGAGCAAGGGAAAACTTAAAAACAGTTGAAGAGACGGATTAAATTCATGTAGATGTCATCATGATCTATACAAGAAAATATCTGGCAGAATGAGAAGGTAGGAATATAGTGCAAGGCCCGCTCATAAAATATATTAATATGAGTTACCAGAATGATTATGTCTATTCCAGCCATAAAAAGTATAAAACATGGCAAACATATATCCTCCACCCATGATAATTGAAAAAGTCTATCTCTGTTATCCTTTCTGCCAACACACTTTAATGCAACTCTGGAGATGACAGACCTGAGAAGAGAAAATCTTCTGTACAAAAGAATAACAGATAAATTCCTGAAACAAATCAAGTTTAAATGAATGGGAGCTCTCGAATTAAGAACAAAAGAGAGAAATTAGAATGGAAGGAAAATATATCAAAAGAAAAGAGAGAGAAAGAAAGTATAGTTCTGAAAGAACTAGAGAAAAGAAAAGAACCCTTAAACAGATAACTTTGTTAATCCCTACTCATAGTTTTCCAGCACACATCCATATACTAATAAAGTATTTTATGCATTCATCATTACATGAAAATATTAAGGGTCCTCAAATTGGTTCATTCAGTATTGATAGATAGTGTAACTGTACTTTGTTTTGATTATCTCCCCAAGTTTTGCTTATCTATTTCCTTTTCTCTTGTTATCATTAAAATTATAATTAATCTAATCATTGTGTTGTCTCGTTCATGAGGGTCGATTTGTTAAATTTCACTTTCTCTCCATGTATTTGAAGACGAACATTTCTACTATATATTTTTTTTTTGTTTTGTGTTGCGATGCCGGTGGAAAAAATTTAAATGTTATGAATATTTACAATCAAAGGGAGATAACTTCACTTCATCTCAATATCCATAATTTTATATATATATATATATATATATATATATATATATATATATATATATATATGTATGTGTGTGTGTGTGTGTAAAAAGTGTATATAAATATAAATAAATACATATATGTATAATTGTTTATATATTATATACGGTACTTATTAGAAAATGCTCAATATCAGAGATAGAGCTAACATATTTGGTTGGATAGATGTGAGTTTTGACCCTGGGTTTCATGCTTTAGCAATCATCTCTCTCTCTCTCTCTCTATATATATATATATATATATATATATATATATATATATATATATATATATATATATATATATATATATATATATATTTTATGTTTATACATTCTTTTATAGATACAAATATTTAAGTAAATGCTCTGTTTATAATTTTTCCGGATGGTAAATGTTGTTTAATACTGTTTATTATAAACAGAGCATTTACTTAATTATTTGTATCTATAAAAAGAATGTATAAACATAAAAATGTCTTAAAATAATTGTCAGACTTTGTCCATTTCATAATGTGTGACGTCATATATATATATATATATATATATATATAAACACTAATATATAGAAGAGTATTTTATATACATGAGAGTATTTTAACTTAATTTTTTTTTTAAATCTTAATGCTTGAAGAAATAAGTAGTCGTGCCTACTTTTTTTTTTCAAAATCCTAAAAGAAAAATATTTCTTACCTGTTTTAGACCAAAAATACTTCTGATATTTTCTTTCATGGAAGAATTTCCAAGAGATGATGCAACTAAATTTTTTGATCTGAAAAAGAGAGAAAAAAAAAAACAAATTCCAACCATTACAAATTTGTATTATTGTTGAAAATTATTTAAATTCCAAAAATTGACTTTTTTATTAATTTGACCAGCATTCTCCTCTTGGTTGGTTTAAGAAAGATTTCATTTTTATTTAAAGATACTTTTTTGAAGAATCTAGAATTATAATACCATACTCATGAAAGCTTTTGTTTAAAGCAATGATAATTATATAATAACAACTTGGTCCTAATAATCAAGAAAATAATATAGATTAAATGTTAAAAGTGCATATTATTACTTAAAGGCATTATATAAATTTTCCTTTCAAATACAAGTTAGTAATATCAATCAACACTCCTGCATCATATTTAAGGCAATCAATACTCTCGCTATCACATGTTCAGATGTCATTTCAATTCTTGTTCATACATCTAGTCTTCTAGAATGGTTCATTGCCAGTTGGTTTTTCTGTCACCATCATTTCCATTTTCCATAAGGAATTCACCGTTGTACTTGGAATCTAAGCTTAGCCCTGTTACATGACCAAATTATTTAATCTCCTGTTTGCAGATTTCTTTGGAAATGAAACAGAGATTGCCTTGTTTTCTTTGTTATTTGTTTGATAATAATGGTTTAGTGATAGTCTAATTATCCTGTAGCTGGACAGGAGAAGAGGTAGATTCCTACCTTTTCCCCAAGGGTATTTGTGCATAAGTGAACACAACAAACCTAACTGAAACTGGAACTCGCCTCTCAAACTAACAATTCTGAGGCATTATTTATTACACGACCTGCACATCCAATTTTTCAACAACTGGCTTTCCCAAACACTCATCTAAGTACTGATCAACATTGCTTCACTTCGGTGAATGTTTCAACACTATATGGTCATAAGCTTTATTTTTTATAAAACTGTTCCACCTGAATCTTGAAATTTTCCTTAAGCATCCAGTATATTTTCTTAGATTTCAAGTTTAATGTTTTGCTGCCATAGAGTAAAATGAAGAAGATATAAGAACTGTAAAACTGTATTTTGGTTTTTAGGGAGAACTTTGCTGTGTTTCCTGATTTTAGTCAGTCTTGAAAAAGTTTCTGTCTATATTTCTGGGATGTGGTATTGTTGTCCTAATCTTTATTGTCATATTGACATTTTGACTGTTGTACACTTCGATCTTCTTCAGGTGATATACATTAGAATTTCAAACTGAACACTTTATTTCATCCACCAGGGTAGAATGTTCTAGTTTCAAGTGCCCTTTTTGGATATCTCAGTTTCAGTTATTTCCCTTTAGTAACTCAACTCTACAAGTTTTTCTTTACCTCTGCTGTGGTCAGGTATTGAACTCACAACTCTTTAGATCAAATCACTGGATTACTTCAACCAACTATTTTAACCATTGGGTCGTGAATATGACAATAAAGACGAGGACAACAGTCCAAACAATGTAAATAGTTTAAATACTTGTAAAAGTTGTTGAAATTTTTCCTATTATTTCTCTTTATTTCTCCCTACCACATTGATTAATTGAGCTAACCAAGTAGACTGTCACCTATAATTTATTTTTGAACTATAAACACACTGTATATTAAATTTTTATCATATAGTATACTGGAAATTATTCTTTGAGGATATTTTAATCTGCAGATGAAACAGTTCATTATAAGTACATTAAATATGTATAGGTTTGAAAATTGCTAAAAAATTGCCCAGACAGTTGTTTTTTTTTTAATTGTGCTCATTATACAACAATCACTGTTTTAAAGTCCTGCACCCCCAAGTCTGGCATATAAATTAACTTCTAGCTTCTTGAAATTATTCATATAAATTAAAACTGAATCTTTCTTAAAACACTCAGCATAATGAAATCATCATCCTATTATCCATTTAATTCTCATTAACATTTAAAAAGTTTTGCCTGGTGCTGAACTTGAGTCATCCTAGTTTAAAAGCAAAAAGCCAATGAAATAACATGTCTATTCAGAAACAATCTTGAATAAAATGTCTTACCCTTTTCCACTTTGGTTGTAGCAGCTTAATCTCACATTTACATTAACAATACAATAGGCATTCAAAACATTAACCATTTTGCAGAATTCCTTCTTGAGATTTCTCTGGAATTCTTTATGACGCACAGGCAAAGTGTAGAACAGATTTTGTAAGATGATGGTCATTCCTTGCTGCAAAACAAAAAGATACTATCTTGCAAAATCTTCAATCAGTTTACAAGAAGTGCTGAAAAGTTCTTAACCCAATTAAAAAACCTTTCCTATCTAAAAGTCTATTTTGTTATTTAGTCAAATTTTTGGATAGGCAAATAATTTTTCATCACCCACTACATACTAAATTCTCAATATTACTGTCCTTGTACCTTCTCATTTATTTGGTTTATACCAAGTATGGGCAAACTTTTCTGACCAGTAGGCTGGATGAAATATGGCTCATCATAAAGCTGGTCACACTAATAAAAAAATTCAAACTAATTTTTCACTGAAAGTAAAGTGGTCATTTTCACTACATTTGCCTTAGAAATAAGGAAACGATATTTTTTTATTTGGAGAAAAGAGTTTTTCTACAATTTAAAAATTGAAGATTTCATATAATATTATCGCTGATCACAACTGTGATTAACACATGCTGCTTGCTGAGTGTAATTTATTCATTAGAAAATACAAAAATCTTTCGAAAAGAAAAATATTTCATCAAAGAAAAAAATTAATATGAACATTTCGCATTTCTAAAGCAAACTATTTTTATACATATGATCTTCCTTAATGAAACTCACCAATGGTTTAAAATGCTAAGAATGTTACCTTCAACAAAAAGTTACAAAATGCAAGAAACATTATACTTAAGCAGTGTCATAATATATAGTTGAGTCAAACTATACCCACAATGCAACAGGCATTAATAAGTAAGGGAGGTTACTCTGCCATTTAATAGTTATTTCTCTTTGACACCAGCATCTCTCAACCTCTTTCCATGAGAGAATATGAGCGAATAAGTGAGAATTTAACAAAAACACAAAATTTTAATAAACGTCATTTTCCTCATTAAATTAAGTGTGCCATTTAGAAGGCCAAACGAGCCACAGTTTGACCATGACTGGTGTACTGATAAATCATCAGTTACCTCCCCTTAAGATCTAGGAGGTATAAAAAGCACCCTGTAATATCTGTCTGTAGAAGTGCAATAAAGCTTTGGTATAAGTTTATTCACTGGTTCTGTTTTAACAACTAGATTATACACTTTAAACAGCAATTTACAAAAACACAATTGTGGGTGTGTTTGCGTGAATACCTACACACACAATTAAATACATTATTTCAGGATTTCAGAAATAAAGTCTTTGTTATTCCATTTCTTATTTGGATAATTATTTTCATCTTTATTGTGTTTATCATATTTCATCCAATTATTCAGTATTCTATGTATATATTTGTCCAACCTTTGAAATTAGGATTTTTTTTTTCTTTCCTTGCATCTTTTCCACTGAAACATAACAGTTGAACAGAATTATGTCAGTTTCATTTTAGTAATAAGTAAAATAGAATGGACAAGATTAAAATCTCTTTTCTAGTTGAGCCCTTTTATAGTAAGTAATTTGAACTTCAAGACTAGCAGTTAAAATATTAAACAGTGAACAAAGGAATAGCCAGATGCAAAATACATCCCACGAATGCCACAGAATACATCATTCAAAATATTATTTTAAAAACAACAAAAATGAAGACAGTCATCCAAATAATCTATGGAATAATGAAAATTGTTAATCTCAGAAAGATTGAAAAAAATAATACAGATTTGAAATGCTAAAATGAAACTGAAATGTAGAAAAATTTTTCCATAAAATTCCAAGCTTTGTTCAGATATTAAACTTCTTGGTGGTGTTGTTAATGTATTTCTAACTTAATCACATGTATAAACCTTAAGGCAAGGGAGGACTTTTTTTGATTTCCAAATTTAATACTTACATACATAATAATATGTACAAAAAAGTTAACACAGACAGGGTTGTACCTGAATTTTGGTTTTAAGCATTTCTTCTATGTTAAGAAACAGTTAATTTGGAGCCTTCAAGACTGAGCCCAAGTCATCAGCTGTGGACTTATGATGGTGAAAAAAGAATTGAAGAACATAAAAAGTAGAACACTTTCAACATAACAATTATATAATTTTTGCTCTTTCTAAAACAGGAAATTGGAGACGAACCTCAGTGGCACCAACTATACAGATAGAATAAGTATAAAAGATGTAAAATGTTCAAACATTATAACATCTGTATGGTTTTCAATAGCAAAATAATTCTTTACAATCTTCTTACTAGAGCTGGTAAAAGTCTGGTATTACGGGTTGGAGGGAGAAGAGCAGATATTACCCACTCAGGGATGAGATCCAGAATGCTGAAGAGTAAAAAAAATTGAAAAAGAAAAAAAGCATACATCAGCTTGTCAGTATGGTTTTTGGAGTAGTGTGCTTTCATTAACATGAGGAAGTGATTGGAGAACAGGCCAATATATAAATTAGCATCACCGAAATTATATTTGAATATATGTTGAAATAAACATTTGGCACCTTTGATAGGAATTTGGATATACTTATACTGTATTAGCAAACTAGCTATCTAACAATTTAAGCCTAGGAGTTCACTTACTTTGTTCTCCCCAAAATAACATCCTTTGAAGTATGAGCAGGAAGAAGTTTATTCTCTCTCACTCAATACTTCTAGCCTGTGAAACTACAGTATTCCCATTTGATCAGATTAGACTAAAACTAACAGCTTTTTTACTTTCTCTTTGTTTTATTTTTTTATTCCCTTTTAAATTTGCCTAAGACCTCTTGAACGACATGGGAAATGAAACAGACACCCACGAAGTTATATGATACAACTGCTCCATGGATGCCCAATGACAAGTTAATATGGATGAGGGAGCCAATAAATCAGGCTATCCTTTTGAGAATAAAATATGGAGCAATTATATAAAATCTGTGTAGCAAAAGAAACCACATACACAAGTTTGTCAAAAGCTGAAAGCAAATTAAGTGTAGATTATAACACCATATAGAAACCAATGCTCATGGAAACATTTTTTAGCTGTTAAAGCTCACCATACTTGGAGTGACAAGATCATTTAAAAACTATCACTTAGAACTAATTATATTGAAAATCCTTAATTCCTCCAACACCATATGTTAACAAGGAAATAGATTCCAATCTTGCATGTACTCTTGTTCTCATCACTCTTATACTCTGCTTCAAATTAGATCTCTCTCTGATTCACTCCACATCAAAACTTGTCAGCTAGATGTAAATGCTACGAAAGCAAAAATAAAAACAAAAAAGTTGCTTTGTGTAGGGGCTCTGAGCATCACATCCAGCTTACAAAACAAATCCTTCCAAAATATAAAATACAATTTGAACATTGGAGACAAACACCGAGTCATTTATGCACTTTGACTGCTTAAAAAGACCTATTCACAACACTCAAACCAGGAAGTAGGCAGTCACAGAATTCACCAGTGGCCCTAGATCAACCAACTTGAAACAAACTTCAATGCCAGGCCTGTACACTACCAACTCCTCCATCTTTGTCCACACAGAGACTTTCTGTCTTTATCCTTTACAACAGCAATACAGAGAATTTTATTTTAACATATCTTGTTTTCTTTTCTTTCTGCCACATCAGCATGACCTTGTTGCTTATGTTTGTTCTCTTGCAACTATACACAGTATATACCATCACTAACACAAGCCTTCAATATTCTGTTATATGATTCTTGTGGACCATTATGTCTTGATTAAAAGAGAGAAAGAGAAATAATAATTCTAAAGACCAGAGATACACCTGAGATAAGCCAAAGGATTTACTGGCCAAAATGTTGGATTAAGAACAAAGATGAAGACAACAGTCAAAATAATATATGGAGTAACAAGACGAGAAAATTTTCACATCAGAATCCCCATTGAAATTTAATAATTTGCAACATTTGATTGACAAAATGTTTCATCTAATTTTTCAATATGACTTTTGCAGAAACAATCCTTTAGTAAATCCTATCCAATGTGTTTTAATGTTAATAAATTTATGAAACACTACTTTTGAGATCCAATGTGTTCAAATTCTAACCAAGTCTCTTTCGTTCACTTTACACTAATGAGCTTGGAAAATGTATGAACCCATCTTCATCCACTTATGAGCTAAATAGCAGGGCAAACAGAATCTTTAACCTTGGTAGGTCTAGGAGAAGGACAATACTGAATTCATAACCAGCCTGAAAACCTTCATTAAGTTACTTCGCCCTAGACACACACCACTGCTGCTACTGCTGCAATACATAATAGGTCACAGGACTCATGATTATCAACCATTTTAAGAATGAGACACAAAAATCCTCACAGTATTATTATGTTACAAACAATTGGCATTATTTACAGAAAGTAACAACATATATCATCTTGGGATTTGTATATCCCATTTCAATTGAAAAGGGTAAGCGAAATTACTTATTGTGCAAATGTAGCTAAGAATGCAATATTTATTTAAAGTATTAAGTAATTTATTTTTTTTGATTAAATATACAGCAGTATTTCTCCAAATAAAATGAAATGCTTTACATTTTAAAAATAAAAAACTCAATAAATTATTAATATAACTTTACTCATTTGTATTTTTAATTTAATTAATATAAATATATATTAAAAATATTTTTCTTTGTAACTAAATATAAACACATAATTGAAATTGGAAAATCGGTAATTTGACAAAAAAATTAAATAAATTCATTAACTTTTAATTATGATTTTTAGTCATTTTGAAATACAATTAAAAAAAGAAAAAAGCAAATATATTGGCTCTAGAATGAACTGTACCAATTAATTTGAATAAAATAGTAAATTAACTAAAGTAAACAATTACAAAACGCACACCAATTAAAGTCAATTGGTAATTTTGCTGTTTACAAATAACTAGATATTTACTTGACAAAAATTCCTGATAAACATTATGAGTATTATTAAACTGCTACTATTCTATGGCTATTGTTATAACACACTCTTATAATGTACTTCATATAAGGATTCTTTATACATAATGCTTCTGCTGTACTAGTTAGTCTGAAAACCGATTCGAAACAGCTACCAGTCTTACCTCTGACTTGGAGCTTTTTATATTAATGGATGAGTTCATATAGTTACAGGGGTAGGGGGGGGAGGGATATTCACTCCACAAAAAGAATATATAAAAGTGATAATAAAAATGAGAAAAAAATGTTTAGCATTAAATGCTGAATTGCAGATTGGAATGACAAGTTGACTCTGCTAGCCACAGGATAAGGTGAAAGAAAATATATTTTTCACATTTCAGATACTTTTAAATGCTTCTTCTTACATAATTACCTATATTGAAAAAGAATCTGTATGTGGTATGCTGAGAAATACAATTGATATCATTCATCACAAACAATGGAAAGAAAGGACACTGAGTTGTAATTTATGTTATAAAATAATTATCATTACCTGTCTTGCACAATGAGATTTTGAAGTAATTTTTCCATTATGGTCAAATTCCAATTTTGTAGCAACAGTTGCTGTTTCATGACGTGTTGTAACTGTAAGGTCACTTAATGCACATAAAGAACTTAAAGCCTCACCCCGGAAACCAAATGTCTCCACAACACTCAAATCAGAAAAATCTTTTAATTTTGAGGTGTGATGTTTCAAAGCTGGAGCAAGAAAAAAAAATTCATTTACACTCAAAATTATTGATACCACATATTTTACTGGAAAATGTTCTGAAATCAAATTCTAACAAAGTATTTGAATATCTCAAAGTCTACAAATGCCAGTGTCATTTAAACAACTTTATGAAACCTCATTAAAAGAAAACAAAAAACATCAAACGTAAAAATGTAGGAATTCCCCACAATTTAACCTTTAACACACTGCATTATTAATATTACTTTCCCTTTCCACTGCATTCTTTTTCAAGGCCTCTTAATTGCAGTATCCTTATTGTTAATTTCACTCTAAGTTGTTTTCTGTTGCCATAGCAGGATATGACAACTATGAAATTCAAACACACTATTATTCAGGGATTAGATTCACTTTCAGTGGCAGGATAAACCTTTTGTATAGGAAAGGAATTCACATACATAGTGATTGAGGTTAAAATAGAAGTTGTAACTTTGAAATTATAAGGGGAGCACAATTTCAAAACTTGTAACATTAAATCATCTTAATATATATCAGAAACTGTATGACTATACATTTATTGGTTACACAACTTGATTTCATTATTCCATTATTCCATTGAGTGGGATGATTTTAGATTCTTCCTTTTATGGGCTTAGGTTATCATACTTTGATCAGCAGGAAGCCTCAAGATAATTATGACAAGCAGTTGAGGAATTACGAAAGAAGTTCTTGGCTAGTTGACTTCGATAACTAATCTATTGTTCCAGCATCATTAGTAACAAGAGCATGATGATCAGGGCACCAAAACTTCATGCAATTCATCTCTTGTAAACTATTTACATTGTTTGGACTATTGTCCTCATCTTTATTGTCATATTCACAATATTTCAGCTGTTGTACGCTCCAGTCTTCTTCAGGTGATATATGTTGTAATTCACTGGATTACTTCAACCAATGCTTTTATCCAGTGGGCCAAATTGAATAAAGCATTGTTTGAAGTAATCCGGTGACTTGACTCAAAGAGTTGTGAATTCAATACAGCACAACAGAGGTGAACAAAAACTTTGAGAATTGAGTTACTAAAGGGAGATAACTGAAAATGAGATATCCAGAAAAGTCATGGCACATAGAACTAGAACAATTTACCCCAATGGACGAAATAAAAGGTTCGGTTCAAAATTTCAACATCACCTGAAGAAGACCAAAGCATACAACGGCCAAAATGTCATGAATATGACAATAAAGATGAGGACAATAGTCTGAACAAATAGTGTAAATAGTTACAATAGCTCATCTCAGAAATATAGACAGATATCTCTTTTAAATCTATCACTGTCAATTCCAATACAGATATAGTCATTTTTAAATCTTTTCTAGGCTATAAGCTATCCTCCATTTAACAGGCAATCTTTCATTGATATTCACAGATTCAATTGAATCTGTGAATGTATTATTATATTTCTAGTTTACATGTGCCCTCAAAAAATAATAGAAACATTTAAGTAATTTTGCTTATATTTTCTGCATGAGTAATTTGAGGATTTATCTATACAATTAGTTTTATTACTATATCTAATTTTGTTTCTGAAACCATTAAAAGCAAAAATATCAAAAAAAAGCTAACAAGAAACAAAAGAGAAAAAAATCAATGTATCAGAAGCCTGATCTGTCCTACTTACTAATGAGATATTCTATTTTTATTTTAATACAAGGTATGTTCCCTTATCTATGAACATAACAAAATATTTCATTACTAAGAAGTGAATTGTATAACCAATAAAGTCATATTTGTATTGTATATATTAAAATAGATAAACAATGTCAATTAAATCATGATAATTGATAATACATGTGAAAGTTTAAAGGAGAGAATGGTCAGAAGACATAGTGAAGATCATAAAAAAATCAAACATTTATTGCCTACTAGCAGTAGAGCCCGGCGTTGCCCGGGGATATAACAGTAAGAGATAGATCAAGTATCCACCATCATAAAGACTGAAAAATAAAATTGACAAAGATTATTGTTTAAGGTTGACGGACATGTCTTAATTAGTTTTTTTTTTTTTTTTTTTTTTTTTTTACGAATTGGTCCAACCCAAACTCAAACAAAAACATTGTTTTCAATTGTTATGAGTATCTACCGATTGAATAGAATTTTATTATAAACAATTTTCTTGTAAATGGAATTTTTAAAGCATTCTGAATGTAAAAATGAAGAAAAAAGTGTGCAAGACAATAAGAAACACTACATGCCAAAAAAAAAAGTGAAGTTTTGTTGAAATCGGTTGAAAATGTAGGTAGCCTTTCTGTAATTTTTTAGTTTTACAATTTATGATTTTTACTTATTGAATACAGTAAAAAAAATTGCATATTTTGCTTGTGGTGATTCATAATTAGAATATATTTTCCACTCGTTGTTTCTAATACAAAAAATATTAACTTTATTTGGGTTTATTAATTATGATCTAACAAATCTTATTCATTTAGTAGCCTTTCTGTAATAATAATCTTTTACAATTTATGATTTTTACTTATTGAATACAGTAAAAAATTGGACACCATGTGTATTTAAAGTAGTTTCCGTTCGGTTATTATTTTTAGTTAGGACTTGTGTATGTTTAGATTTCATTATCTTTCCTAAAGATAAAGAATTTATCTGATGTTTGTATTCGTACAATCAGTAGAGATCGTTAGATTATTGTTTAAGGTTGACGGACACGCATGTCTTAATTAGTTTTTTATTTTTTTTTTTTACGAATTGGTCAAACCCAAACTCAAAAAAAACATTGTTTTCAATCGTTATGAGTCTCCCGATTGAATAGAATTTATTATAAATAATTGTCTTGTAAATGGAATTTTTAAAGCATTCTGAATGTTAAAAATAAAAAAAAAAAGTGTGCAAGAGAATAAGAAACACTACCTGCCAAAAAAAAAAAAAAAAAAAAAAAAGTGAAGTTTTTGTTTTATCGGCTGAAAAATATAGGAAATTGGATCCCATATTTAAAGGAACCCACACACGCAAACAACCCGATGTGAGTTGTCCCCCTTCCATTTTCACGATGTCTCTTAATCGTGTTTTCAAATTGATTTTGTGCAAAACAATTATATTTTTCCCATTTTGGCGCTGTCAGAACCACCACAAGGTAATTTTATGTAGTCCTGTGAAGTTTTGTTGAAATCGGTTGAAAAATGTAGGAAATCCGATCCAATATATAAACATTACAGACACACACACACAATCTGCGTTTTATAATAAGTAAAATGATATTATTGATGCAAAATTGAAATATATGATTTCACTCATTTTTGTGACTATAAAAATATAAATAATATTTACTCAATCCTTCAAAGTTTTCTTCAGCAACTCCAGAACCATTGTCATTCACCTCAATAATTTCACTTCCATATTCTTTTAATTTAATTTCTAAAAAGAGAAAAATATAAACAAAAATGTCAGTTACATATCAAATTTTTTATAAAATAAAGATTATCATAAATTACATAGAAAGAACTAAGAAAAAAGAGAATAGTCAAAGGCAGTGGGAGGTCAATCCTTATTTGAAATCAATGCTAAAAAAGAATCTAACAAACAATTTTCCATATTTTAGAGTTTAGACAAAATACTGGGTGCAATGGATAAATTGTCATCTAAATTACACAAAATTGAAAATAATACTGACACCTCATTTTAACAGATATATCTACCAAAATTACACAAAAATATCTTGAAATACTAAAGAGTAAATTTATTCAATAAAATCGCCATTGGCTTCAAAAAAAAAAAAAGCCTCCAGACGACTTTGGAATCTTCTTCAACTCTTCTGGACAGTTCATCTTTGGTGTTACAAGGAGTTTTGTTGGTCTCTCGCTCAACAGCACCCCACACATAATAATCAAGGGAGTTGCAGTCTGGGGTGTGATGTGGCCACAGAAATTATCTGCTAGTTATGACTGGGTTCTACTTGTGTGGCATGGTGTAGAGTCCTGTTACCAGGCATTGGGTCTTCCAGCAGCCACACTCTTGACCTAGGGCAGCATTACTTCTTCAAGGTACTTGATATAGGCCTCCATGATGAGTCTGAGGCCCTCACCAATGAATTCAGGAGTTCTTTTCTTAATGATCAGAGTGAGTTTTCCAAGCTGCCATACCTTCATAATCATCATTAGACTCATCCAACTCTTTCTGAATCCTCTGCTCTGTCACACTCAAACACACTGAAATGTTCATATTGGAGCCTTCAGTGTGAATGCCAAGTAGTACAAATTACCATTTCCAAATTTTTGGCAGAGTTAATTGCTTCATGGTGCTCTTTTTCTCCCAGACGGTGCCCAACTGAGCCTACTATACTGTGCAGTCAACAAAATCAAAAACAAACAATGCGCATGTGCGAAATTAAAAAATATAAAATGACAATAATTTAATCATCACACTCTGTATATATGATATCTGATTGCTGATTTTTGACCCAGTCTGAATAGCAACAACTACTACTATGTAATGGAAAATCAGCTCAACCCAACAGGAGACCCAGTGTTGGTTGCATGTGATGCAATAAGCACCAAGAGTTACATCTGCTTCCACAATTGAGAGAGGACATTCTACTTACAATAGATGGCACTGACAAAATTTGCATACAAACAATACTGGGCAGGTATTAACCAATAGACAGCATGGATTTTGGACTGAGAGAGCTATATATGTTATATAACACCAGCTTTTTCACAGTTGCTAAGAGCACTCTCGACATGCAGAAAACCAGACAAGATGATTATAATATTAATAATAATTAGTAGCAGTAGTAATGATTATGATAAACAACTTTCTTTCATTTTTAGTTGTTTTTTAGCTCACAATTTATAGGGGTGTCAGTGAGCAAACAGTATACTTCATAGTGGATATAGGCATTGGTTAATCAAATGATACTGTCAATCACTAATGAAATATACTCTGGTTCAGCAGGAATGAACAAAGAAACATCACAGGGACAAAAATAACACAATAATTAACATATATAAAATATCCCATATGAGCCAAAATAAAGGATACCTGAAGATGGCCTGAGTGTACTTGGCCAAAATATTGTGTCTATAATAACATCTATGAAAACTAAAGACAAGAACAACTAAAGACAAGACCAACTAAAGACAAGACCAACTAAAGACAAGACCAACTAAAGACAAGACCAACTAAAGACAAGAACAACAGTTTGATTAAATCAAATAAGTTTTAAGTATAAAAGTTCAATATTGTTTCATAAGTAATCAATATTTGATTAAAAACATGGAATCAATCAACAAAGTTCTGCAACAAGGTTTAATTGTGGCATGATGAGCCTTCAGAAGCTATCAAGTAATATACAGTGGGATCTTTATATACAAATATAATCTATTCTTCAGACCCATTTGTTAAGCAAATTGTTCATTATATAAGTAATTGAAATACATTGAATAATCCACTCCAAGCCCCAACCAAACTGTACATTTAAGTGTATGAAAAATGGAAATCACACAAATTGAATAACAAATGCATAAATGCATTTCGTGTCAATTTCTAAGATGAGGAGTTATCATTATTTACACGTGGACTATTGTCCTCATCTTTGTTGTTGTTATTACAACCTTTCAGTCATTGTGCCCTCTGACAGTTATCAGGTGTTTGTCAATTTGGGTAAACGCCAGGGAATTTTCAGACAGACATAGGAAGGGGAATGAGAACAATCTACCCCTATAGATTAAATAGAGGGTTCAGTTTGACATACACCTGAAGAAGATATGAGGACACAACAACCAAAACATTGTGATAACAGCAAAGATGGGGACAATAATCCATGTGTAAATAATGTAAATACATAAATGTATAGATAAACAAACAACAAATACAGAAATTAATTGAAGCAAGAACATTCGCTATTGTAGTAACACATCCACAGAGAGTATTAAGTCTAAGGTCATCAAACTTTTGACCTTTGTATAAATGATCCATCCACATACTACCATAAGTAATTTCTTTTTCTTTAATCTACACTAAAAGTAACTTTCTCCTCAATAAAATTACTCCATGATTTCCTAAATTTCATTATTCCCTTAGCCACCTGAACAATTGTTTTTGAGTATGGTGCAAATTATTGATTGTGCCATTAAGCATTAAGTTTCCTAACATTTGCATCACTTTCATGTTTAGAAATTATTTCCTTATTAATTTCTATCATAGTTGATTTTTTCACTTGCTTCTGTTGATCAATGATTATTTTTTAATAAAAAATATTATTTCCATTATAAAACACTAAAATTTGCAAGTTCACAGATTTATGACATGAAACAAGTACAATACAGAGACTGAATTGGCATTAAGATGTTCCTAGCCACTAAATACACGTTGTATACTTTGCAATTCATTGTTCAAATCTTTGCTTGTTAGACAAATTTAATTTTCTTTAGAAAAACCATTCATTATTACATTTGTTTGTTTAGCAAACCTTTCATTTTGGGATATCCTACTGTAGCCATTAAAATATTTAAAACATCACTGATATTATCATTTTTTAGCATTGATGTTTTTTAAACATGTTCTTAATAATTTAGTCTCCCATAAGAACTCTGGAGAATGATAGCTTGGATGAGTGTATATGTGTGTATATCATCATGTTTTAAAATTGTCTGATAGACAAAAAACTATATAAACATAAATTCAACAGAGACCAATAAACTTTAGAATTAGTTTTTTGGGGTTTTTTTTAAGCTTCCTTTGAAAAATTATTTGTTGGTTCAATTACTTACCAACTTTGGTAGCTCCTGCATCAATACTGTTCTCTACCAGTTCTTTAACTGCAGTGGCTAGCGTTAAAACTACCTGACCAGAACAAATCCGATGGACAGACTTATAGTCAATGGCTTCAATACTTCCTGCTTTTGGATGATTAACAGCATCAATCACTGCTTCTCCAGCTGAAGCTCCTCTGAAAAGAATAAGACAATAAAAAATATTGTTAATGAAAATTTTCAACCAGTTATATTTATATTGTAAATGATTTTCTTTAAAAAATCCATTATTATAAATTTCTACTTATATTTATAATCATCTACCTGATGGAAATTGAAGAAATTATTTTAAGTGTGTTTATAGAAAAAATGCAACATCTTAACACAACATTTCTGCAACACCTTAAAATTAAAGTAAATAATATTTGTTTCAAATCAGATTGTAGAGGACCAGGGGGGTAAAGATGTAAAGAAAACATGTCCATTTATACTTCCTGCTACAATAGAATGTTGGATTAAGTCCAACTGAAGATAAGGAAGACAAACAAACAAGACCGATATATATAAACAAATATATGTATTAAACAAAACGTTTACAAAGCACATAGACAGTTAACATTATGTGTGTGTGTGAACATTCGTAGTGAATGTGTTTGTACGTACGTGTATGTTGGTATGTTCTTTAACATCTGACCGCAAGGTCAAGACGATAATTCTCTGGAACTACATGTTGCAGCAAGAATAGAGAAGAAGGAGATTTTTACCTCACCTCCATGCTAGGTGGGATTCAGCACAAGGCCTGAAGGAAAAAGAGGAAGAAGCAAACTTGTGTTTGTTCTTATAGATTGCGTAATCACGTGACAGGATCAGAGCACTTTGGCAGGAAATTTGACTTAGTCACGCACTAGAAAAATATATTGTGCATGGGTGGATTGCAACGCCCACTTGTGTGTTTATTGACCATTAGAAGCTGATATTTCCTGAAAAATATTTACTAAGCTAAGAAGGCTCTTGGGATCTGATTCTCCCAAAAGTACAGCATTGATTTCTATCCAATGAATGATTGTTATTGAAATTTGAATTTGTGTAGGTATGTATGTATGTATGCGTGATGATGATGATCACAAGATTAATTAAACTTTAAGCAGCTAATATCCTTAAATAAAGTTTCAGAAAACTATATTTTATTTTTATTTTTGGAAGCCTTTTTTAAAGAGAATTACATTGTAATAAATGCGAAGTAAAAATGGCACTAAAATCAAATCTTTTAGCAAAAAAAATAAACAAACACTCCTTCCAGTCAATTTAAATTAGTTTTGAAATAAAGCAAAGTATTTTGCATATTGGAAATATTAAATTAAAAAACTAAAATAAAAGCTTCAAGAAAGATTTTTAATTTTTAAAATTCATTTTAAACCTTAGGTATCACAAATCCGTGAAGGTAACTAATTAGATATATTTTAAAGGTTGTCATAGCCAGGGTGGTAGTGGGGCCAACTCTGACAATTAAGTCCGAGAAGGGGTGAACATAAACCACTGGCGCCTCGTAACCAGCTGCTAGATGGAGATTGTCAGTCCAAGAAGGCAATCTAAGGGAAGGAAAAACCTGATTTTAAACCTCCGCTTACCTTGCAGTCATATCCAAAAGCAAAAAAAGTCTATGGAAATAAATCCAGACAGAATATCTTGAGTGGAGCACAACGCGGACAAACTTCCTGCAACTCCTGCAGCCAAGCCAGTCCTAATTGTAATGTCCAGTATATCTAGATCTTGTCGGTATGACAGAGAAGGTAGGGAGTGTAGTGCACTGCCTGCACTCTGGGGTGGTCACTCTCTAGTCTCACCACCATCGCTCCTTGGACTTTTGGTTCAGGGAGGTTCAAAATATTAAGCCAGTTGGCCTTTTCCCCACGCAGTACCTCTCCAGGGTTTATTGGCCGGCGCCTGAGGCATCCCAAAAGAGGAAGTGCCGAGGTAGTTTGGGCAATTTCCTACGGCAATACCGCTTAACGTGGGCATAATGAAAAATACCCTCTCTCTAGTCTCACCACCAAAGGACCGGATTTAGTTTAACCAAACAGGGCGCTACCATTCTTGAGAAACGGATGCCTACTCCATTTATCACATAAGAGTAGTCTCCCATTTTACCAGCATACAATTAAAAATCGCCAATTTTAATGACACCGTATTTAATTGTTTCTTTTGGTTAAAATAAATTAAATAGTAATGAAGACAAAAATGAATCTACGTAAGTTTTCAGAAAAGAGGGAATCAAAAAAATTTCTTCGTCTTTGTTGAGGATCGGAACCGAGAAACACAGAACTTTTATATTTTTAGAAAATTGTTTAAAAAGTTACAATAATAAACAAAAAAAACAAACACTTTTTGAAATCATTACAGGGTTTACGTTACTACTGCAAATGCAACTTATTTAAATATTAAATCTCCTGCATTCTTTAATTAAAGTTTTAGTTTTTTGCTTGTACAACGATTGTCAAATCAAAGGTTTTTTGCAAATCAGCCACAGAAAGTATCTTTCTTTTTCAAAAATAATTTTTTACGATATAAGTCATTGTTTAAATTTATTCTTTCTTTACTCTTTGTTTTATGTTTCAGATTAATTTTTCAGGTGCAATCAAAAACAAACACAAGTTCTAAAAATTTTTTTAAAAAAACTAGTATCATCGCTAATTTTTATAATCACACTTTTAGTGAGTCTTCTTACCTTATTCAACAACAAAAAAAAACTAAAAGAAAAATGAATTTGTTTTTGCAACATGTATATCAATTACTAATAGTAATATGGTAAAATATTTTAAATGAATTATTGAATAAATTACATAATTAAAAGAAATTTAAAATTATTCACTGAGAATTTGAAAATTAGTTGGGTTTTTTTCAAAAATGAAGATCTCACAACTCCAAGAAAATGAACTAAATTTGTTAAAGTTTACTTTAAAGCTTACGGTGCACCTTTCTTATCTACATGTAATTAAAAACAATCCTAAAAGATCAAATTCATCCATTGTATGACACAAATGTACACCAATAAATAAATCTCGGGAAATATATTCGTAATAATACCTGTTATTATCCGAAGGAATGTTTACACTCTGATCTTCTCCCTCCATTTTTGCTTTACTGATAAAACACGTGAAGGTTTTAGCGCCACTAAGGGGCCGGTTATTGTTTTGTTTACAATTTTAAGACAATCAAATATACGACCAAGAAAGACGGAATAATATATCGAATGAAACTTTGTTAAAAAATTCAGATGAAGGCAATAACAAAAATATGGAATAATAGAGAAAAAAATATTTAATCTCAGAAATGTAGAAATCAAAATTAATAGACAACGTATTTTTTAAACATTTTTTTATGATTTTTTAAACTATATTTTATTTTTTGTTTCATCAAAACATTTTTAAAAAAAGTAATCACGAAATAAAGGGATTGACAAACTCTAAGAACCCACACAAAACTAGAGATAAATTAAATTTAAATAAAAATACTATTTTTTTTTTTTTCAAAATGGGTTTTCTTTTCTTTTTCAAGATACCACCCTTCACAACTGAACTATTTGTCAAAAAAGATTATTGGCTTGTTCTTTTAAATTAAAAATCATTTTTTTTCTAACCTCATTCTTTTTTCGTGATCTACGGGTTCCAGGAATAATACACCATTTATTTACCAAAATTCACCTGTTCTATTCATTTTTAAATCAATATTTGATAATCGTGACAATAATTTTCTCCCAAAATGATTTATTTTACAATTTTAAAATAAATGATAAATGCATAAAGTGATATTAGGATGAAAAATAACTTGGGGAAGGGGGTGTTATAGTGTGGGCCTCTGCATCTCCCTACCCATGACGAGTGCCTATTGTTTTCAGAGGGAACAGGTGTACCTCTTTGTTAGTGTTGTACCTACTTTTCCATGCACATATCTACCCCAATCTTTTTTTTTTTCCTACTGTTCTGTCGGTCTGCTGAACACTCAGCTATTTACATAATATTATTTAGTCTAGCCTAAACTTTCATTGTCCTGATGCATAAGACCAGAAATTAAAAAATAATAGTAATAATTCATCAGTTGCATGGATTACGTTTTAAATGTTCAGGATTTTTGACAGAATTCTTCCTCATGAGGCTTAGGGGGTTTAAAATGAACAGCTGATTTACCCACACCAAGAAGATTAATGAAGGATGATAATGATGAGGAAACACATGGGTAATTTTTACCAAACAAGATAAGGAATTTCTTCACAAATTTACACATTTGAAGTAGTGTTTAGTAGTTTGTTTCAGAAAATATATCAGAATCCTTAAAGTCTAGTTTTAATGAATTGTCATGAAGAGGAAATGTTCATACAACAGATTAAATGATCTGACACAAAATAATATTCAAAAAAGACAAAGAAGAGTGTTCGTTTCTCAATGAAGAGATATATGGTTTTCATACTTTCAAAAGTTTATGAAGAGCGATAGCTTGAAATACTTGTCTTTCTTGAGAGAAAATTCTTTGAAGTGTCACATGCTGGTTAGAAACCAATAATATAATTAGTGAGTAATTTTGCACTGGTGAGAATGCAGGTTGTAAGGAACTAAAACAAAACCTTTCACAAGACTTCAGACACTCTTCTCTTATTAATTTAATTTTTCTCCTTATTTTATATCAAAAGGAATTTTGTGTAGACTCGCTATTTTCTTTGCTCCTTCTTTTCAGCTGACCAGCTAATTTCTGTGAAGGCAAGGTTTTCATTGGTCCAAAGAAAATTTCATATTCCTATCCTCCCTCCTCAGTCCTCTGAATTTTAAGGGAGTTGGTGAAGGTAGTTATTATTATCTTACACTCACTACACTATTACAAAATGATGTTTTAAAAGTGTTATACTCCACTACAATTAGATCTCTTTCTGATTCACTCTACATGTCAGCTGGATGTGAATGCTAAGAAAGCAAAACACAAAATAAAAAAAGTCATTTTCTACGCATTGGCTCCAAGCATCACATCTGGTCCACAAAACAAATCTCTGCAATAAATTACAGTAGCCAATCATGAATGTTCCCACCAGAAAAAAAGAATCCCTGGGGACCACCAGATTTGCTTAAAAGAAACTCTTGTAACAATCAAAACATTTATGAGTTGAAAGGCCACCTATCTATCTTCTGTCACCATCAATGCCATGATCAGTTTTCTCATCACAACCATAAACTCACCCAAGCTTCACTAATCTCACCTGACTCTTCATACACTGGATGTGGATGACAGGCCAGCTTCAACACCATCAGGTTCTTGACACCAATCACTGTGATTTCTAACACCTTAACATCATCACTATTGAGCTCCACTATCCACTCCAGGCCTCTCTTCTTACCACCACTATAACCCCATTTGTTTATCTCCAATTCAACCAGAATCCAACAGATCTTCCACTCAATTGAATGTTCACTATCTATGCCTAATCTCTCATTGCCGCCACCATAACCTTGGCAACCAACGCACCCTACCACAAATCAACCCATCACCTTGACCTTGATTGTTCAACCCGCTAATCCACCATACCAAGTAGTTTGAAAACATTTCAACATCACATGACTGTCAGTTCATCAAACACCCCGCAGATGTTGATTTTAACCATGAAAAAGGGTGTACATCAAAACTCACCAACAACTAATCCACTCCAGACCTATCCTCTAACCCCAACTGTGACCTTGGCCAACTAACCTCAAAAATTGGTCAACTCCCAGCCCTACCAACAACATCCTTAGACCTAATTACTTTCCTTACCAACCTCAAATGAGAAACATACATAAACAATTTTCACCAAATTTCATACTATGTATATATTCCGAATTTTGATGAATACATGCTGTTGAAAATCTAATCCTTATCTGTTCTTTTCCTTTGCAACCAAACACTCATTGTAACAAAAGCTAAATATGATAGTTGTAATCATCAAAGCAGAGTTATCTGGTATTAGATCTCTTTTTCTCTATCTATGCTGTGTAACCTTGTAATCCAATGTCTTCAAGCTACTCTATTGAAAATTGTTACCCTGTTAATAAGATAAATAGAAGTAATTTGTTGTTTAGAAAATTATTTGTAAATTAGCGCAGATTAGAGAATTTTGTCTCTGGAATTCTTTAAAAAAAACAACTTTCTTTTTTTTTTCTAATTTGAAATCAAAGAAAAACAGTTTCCTTTAAAAGTTTAATGATTCTGTAATATTATCAATTAATAACCCTTATGGAGCTCCCTCGCAAAATAAGATTATTGACCCTTAAAGAATTTGTCTAATTGTAAACCAATTGCAGAAAAATCACAGTAGTTTGTGAAGGATGGCAGAGATTTCATTAAGAAAGAAGTTGAGAAGCTACTACAAGGCATAATTGAATCAAGTTCATCCCCCTGGAGTGCCCAGGTGATAGTTATCAAGGAAACCACTAATATACATAAGAAGAGGTTATGCATTGATTACTCACAAACTATCAACCAATTTTCAGAACTTGATGCATATCTTCTTCCACATATTGAAGAGATTGTAAATAAACTACCCAAATACAGTGTATTTTTGGCCTTCAATCTGAAAATCACCTACCACCAAATTCCCCTAAGGCAAAATTAGAAAAAAATTTACTGCTTTTAAAGCTAATGGAAGGCTCTATCAATATTGTAGAGTGCCATTCAGTGTGATGAATGGTGTTGCTGTCTTTCAGCAGAAATATACAAACGTATCCAAGAACACATTAAGAGACACCTTTCCTTACCTTGACAGCTGTCACAAGGAGAAACAAAAAAGAACATGGCCAGAATGTAAAAAGAATCCTAACAGCCATCAAAGCTAATAATCTTACATTAAATGTGACAAAAACAGTGTCTTCCATAACATCACTTAATATCCTTGGCTACTGGGCAGGTAATAGAATAATTAAACTTGACCCAGAAAGACTTTGGCCACTTCAAGACTTACCTGTGCCAACAACCCTGAATTCCTTCAGGAGAACTGTTGGTATGCTTTCATACCAACAGGATACCAAAATTTTCTGACAGAATGCAACCTCTAATTAAAAACAAGACTTTTCCACTGAATGCAACAACAGCTATCAAAGCATTTAAAACTCTAAAGAAACGGCTGGAGAATGCCACTCTGTAAAATATGGATGAAGACTTACCTTTTGTTATTGAGTGTGATGCTTCAGATGTGGTGGTGGTTATGGTGGCTACTTTATACCAGAGAGGTAGATCAGTGGCTTTTATGTCACAGACCATGCAGAGGAGTCAATTACCCTATCTTTCCATACAAAAAGAAGCAACAGCAATAATTGAGACTGTTAGGAAGTGGGATCACCTCCTTGCAAGAAAAAGTTTTACCTTGATTACAGAGCAACATTCAGTGGCACTCATGCTTGATAACTGCAAGAGGACAAAAATTAAAAACAATAAAATTTTAGAACAGCAAATTGAACTGTCTGCTTTTAGTTACTCAATAAGTGTTGCCCCTGACACACTTACTAAAACATTTTCTACTTCAGAAACTTGGTGATCTGCATCAAGGTCTATGCTATCCTGGAACTACACAAATACTCCATTTTATATGAACTAAGAACCCACCCTTCTCAACAGAAGAAGTAAAGGAAGCATATGCTCTTCATGTCAACTATGTACAGAAATCAAGCCAAGATTTTTTTCACATGGAAAATGAAACTCTAATTAAAATTACTCAACCAAAGGAAATGCTAAGCATGGATTTTAAAGGTTCCCTACCTTCAACTTCAAGTAATGTTTATATCCACACCATTGTGGAAGAATATTCCCGATTTTCTTTTGCATTTCTCTGCCAAAATATACATGCAGCAACAGTAATAAAATGTCTTGATCAGTTATTTGCACTAACTGACTTTCTAGGTTATATCCACTCTGATAGAGGTACTTCTTTTCTATCAAAAGAAATAAGGGGTTATCTATTAAATAAGAGCATTGCCACAAGCAAAACAACACCCTACCACCCCACTGGTAATGGAGAGGCCAAAAAATACCATGGTGTAACAGGAGAGAGCTATGGTAGAAAGATTTATTCTCCCATTTATATTTCTTCCATTATGAGCATTATTATGTCCGTGATATT